GGTTGACTGGAAATGGGCCGGTTCCTGCGTGGGCCCCAGGTGTGCGCCACGGGAAGCCAGGGGGCATTCAAACAAGGGGCGGAGATGCCGGGGCCCTTGCCTGCGATGCTGGCTCATCCTCCAGGGCGAGGGGATGTGGGACAGCAGTGCTCTTATTGGTGACTCCCGCCTCTGGAAGGAAGCATTTCCCCTCTGAATGGACAATGAGGAAGTGTTAGTCATATCAGGAAGGGGTTGACTCTAGAACTTGTCGAAGTTGACTTGAAAACCTTGCCTAATAGATTTAAGGGAATGCCTTAACCTCTTTGTCACTTTTGTCACTTGAGGCTTAGGGAAGCTAAAACTCATTTTTGAAGCATAGATTAACCTCGATTTAGGGAGCAAGTTGTGTTTTTAAAATTTGCAAGTCATTTTGGATTTAGAATACATTTCTCCATGTAAATACTGTTACTAGGTGAGGTCACCACATGCCCCTCAACGGGAGGAGAGGCAGCTCTGTCAGGTGGTGGAAGGAAACCGGGATTTGGACTTAGAACCCCTGGGCTCCCAGAGGACCTGCCGGTGACCGGCTGCGCGCCTGTGGGGGGAGTGGGGGGGAGCGCCGCTGGAGGCCAGCCTTCCTCAGACGGGAGACCCTGTGAACGCCTTGGGGCGGTTCATGCACATAGTAGCCATGGAGTCACGTGGAGGGGAAAAATGTCCAGGGTGGTGGGGGGGCGTGGTGATGGTGGTCAGCCAGACAAGGCGCTGGCAGCAGGTTAGCACGGAGGGACACCGGAGAAGCAGCCCACCCCGCCTTCATTCTTGTTCTCACACCTGGAGGAGGAGGAGGAGGAGGAGGAGAAAAAGGACTTCAGAGAGTGGAAGGCCCAGCTGAGGAGGCTCAGAAATACAGGTTGCAGGGCTCTACCTCCTGGTCATCCTGATGGGGGCTGGCAGGGCTGGAGAGGGACCAGGGCTTCCAGCTACTTGGGGAGGGGAGAGGGCCAGAGAGCAGGAGAGACAGGTAGGGGGCTGGGGGCTGGGGCAGAGGGAATGAGGGTGAGGAGCCCTGGAGGACTGATTAGAACAGTAGGGAAGAACCCCCTGTCCCTTGACTTACTCCTCATTGCTGCCGATGCTGTGGCCAGGCGGTGGGGAGCGGCGGGGCCCTGGGCTTGCCCGTGGGGCCGTGGGAGGGCAGGAACACAGGCCAGGCCTGGCCTCGGGGCCTGCGGCTGGGACGGGCTGGGAGGAGGAGTGTGGAGGGGCACGAGTGCTGGGGGCCCCCAGGAGCCCCCACGTCCTGCCCGGCTCCTGGTGCTCCGGCTGCGGGCTGCCCGGTGCGGGAGCCCGGGCTCTCGTTCTCAGTGAGTCCCTGGCGACTGTTTTTGGGTGAAGAAAGAAAAACAAACTGTTATATGCACGTGTGTGTGCCTGTGCCTATGTGTGTATCCATCAGTCAAAGTACGTTCATCTTTGGTTTATTATGTGGACATGAGTTAGGATATTTTTTGTCCCCCTCCCCCCTCCAAATTACACCAAGTTGTACGCGTTAATTCAGCAGGCCTTTGAGTCTGGCGGCGTGCTAGAGTAAAGTTCAGTGATCGCTTCTGTGCTCAGGGAGTTCTGTTCTATTTTGTTTCAACAAGATTCTGATAACAGAAGAAGAATAATTTTCAGTGAAGAGGCTGCTCAAGTCCTAGGAACACTGAAAATTGAGATAATGTGACATATAACCCAATACAGGAATATCCTTCATCAGAATGTGGAAGAGTCCCATTTAGTGTCCGAGTGTTGGAAATTGATGTGCTTCTGGCAAGACAGCAGAGCCTTCCAGGGTTCTCAGCTGTAGGGCTGTGGTCTCCTGAGTTAGGCCTCACGTGAACCTTCCCTTGAATACCTTTTTGTTATAGAATAGGTTTGGATCTTTTAAAACTTAGTTTTATGTTTTGATTTAAAAAAAACAAACTTGCTATATTTACTGCAGTACCTTAGAGTGAAAAAAATATAGCATATGTGTTAAAATGGAAAAAAATGGATTGTCAATTCTGTGACACTCCCAAAAAAGTATAAACGGGTTTGATAATCTCTAGAATAAATTTAGAGAAAATTGGTTTTAATCTCTTTTGTAGGCATGAAGGCAAGAAAAGTTCTTAAAGGGCGCCTCCAGAAGTTTTTATCGTTTCATGTGTTTATGCTTAAATTATATGTTCACAAGGCAGTGAGTATCTGCTTGTGCTTTCATTTTCAAATGACATATACGTATAATTTATTTCTGTTTTGAATAAATTAAAGCATAGCTCTACATTTTTATATAAAAATAGCTTCTATAAAACATACTGCCTATATCAGCTGATAAATTGCAACTCTTTTCCTTTTATGTTTAATATTTAAAAAAAAGGGAAGGGAAGATACTTGAGAGTAGGAGGCCTTGGCCTTTGTCTGGAATCCCCCCCACCCCACCCAAGGGCTGTGCAGTGGGTGGCTCTATGTCTTCCCTTTCTCTTGTTTACCTGCTTTATTCCCTTGGGCAAGCTGCTACTGTTTTCTGGGCCTCAGTTTTTCAATTTGTCTTCACCACATGGATTGGCTGTGAAGATTTATTGAGTTTAGCTCAAGTAAAGCACTAAAAGTTCCTGGCCTATAATAAGAATTCAGATGTTAGCTGCTCTATTATTATTACTACTAAATCGAAATGAACAAAGGAATTCAAACAGTGGCACATTATGAGTTGACCCAGAGACTAGAAAGAGTGCCATTCAAACACGGAGGATTGTTTACCCTGGTGCTGCGGGAGGGGCTGGGAGGGATTGAGGAAGGCGCCGGCCCGGTCCCTCCCCTCCTCCTGCCCCTCCGCCTCTGCCCTCCCCCCCCAGCGGTGGCGCTCTGTGGAGCAGACGGGTGATGACCTTGAGGACTCCTGTGTGTCGCTCCAGAATTGTGAAGGTCAAAGGCCAATCTGAAGGAGTACTGTGAAGTGCATTGCTGTTCCAGTCAGCAGAAGACAGGATGCCCTCCTTCAGAGAGTAACGCAGCTAGTGTTCTAGACGTGCACTATTGCCAAACGGGAAGAAGAAACTCGCAGTCCATGATAAAACAGGAGCAACATTATTATTTTTAAATAATATCGTTTAAAATGGAGACTTGAAGATGATATACCAAAAAAAGACTTAAGTATCAGTAATTTAGTAAATAAGCCACAAATACATATATTACAAAATAAATACACTTGAAAACTGAATACATTAACAATATCCTGTATGTATAATGAAAAAATGACTTTGTGGATATTAGCAGAAAAAAATGTTAAATTCCCAGGAAGATGTACAAGAAGTATGAATTGACTATGTATTAAAATATGTATTAACTCTGCTGATGGAATTTTTGTCAAAGGCAATTGAAAAGCAACATGAATAATTGAAGGTATATATCACGTTTATGGATGTGAACATATGGATTTATATTGTGAACATGTAGATTCTTCCACATTAATTTATAAGTGAAATCCCAATTATATTCCCAAAGGGATTACCAAAGGATGACATGTCTTTAGTGTGATAAAGGTGGCATTCACTTTCTGTGAGGGAAGAATAACTTATTCAGAGCCTTATCATTAGATCATTGAGAAAGTAAATCCAAAATTTTATTATGGTGGAGCGAAATCATTAACCAAAAAGGAAGTGGATGGTAGATTTGTCAACAAGAAAGAAAAGCAAAATTTCCAAAGGTCAGAATAACATTTATAAACAAATGTCAAATGTCAAACCTAGTTAAATATTTGCAGTTTCAATGACCTAGAGAGTAACTCTTTATTTTTTATAACCATTAATAGCTCCTAGGCAAAAATGCACTTTTTAAAAAATATAAATACTTCTTTAAGAGTAAAGCAAAAGATCTGAGCTGTTTGGTTTTCAATTCTAAGAGTATTTTCATCATTCAGTTGCTTAGCAGTTACTTAATCAGAAGCCTGCAATAAGATTAACCTTGTGATATAAGAGAATTGAATGGTATTTTCTGGATTCATCTTACTATGTTCTTCATACTTACAGAGAAAGCAAACTATTGATTCTGCTAAATAACAAGAATTCAACCGAGTAAATTTTAAAGGTGTAATTGGCTGTATTGGATGATTCATGAATTGGGTGGCATCCCATCCAGCAAGTAGAAGGGAGCTCCACTGGGCTGTAGAACAGGAGAGGTTTTTAAAGGCAAAAAGGAGGTGGGAGACAGAAGTTACTAGCACAGAATGTGCTGTTTCAGCCCAGCTTGCCCTCCAAAGGGGAGGGGACCGGGCCTGTGTGCGCCCGCCTCTCTTGTTCCGACAGATAATTCCAGGTATTCTGACCAGGTAATTCCAGGTTGACGGGTTAAAGGTTCCACTCCTGGGCAGAGGCTGCAGTTCTGCATGACAGTGTGACTTGGTTTGCTGACGCGGGGCTTGGCACACCTGACTCCATTTTTGGTCTGTTGTCTGTTTTTTAACAGTTCTCATAGCCTCTTACCTTTTTTCTTTTCCCTCACCATCTCTTCCTTCTTTACTTATTTCATTTTAAATTTGTTTAAAAATACTAACATTTATCATAAAAATTCTGGTATTGTAGCAGCATATAAAAAGTCACCGTTCCCTGTTGTTCCATCCCCAGTCCTGTTCCCTGAAGTCAACGTATTTCTTATTCCAAATAGCCTCTCATCGTTGGTTCTCTTCCTCTCACAGTTCTATTTGTGGATGTTTCCATCAGAAGGTACCTTGTGCAGTTTTTGGCAAATAATAGGCCTTCATGTATCTTGTTGAAAGAGCGAGTGAATGAAAAATGTAGACATATGCTTAATTCCTTATAATTCAGGCTCCTGGTATTTGAAGCACAGTCCTGGGGCTTTGGAGGAGAGAGTGTTCTTCTCCCACCCCCAGCAGTTCAGCATTTGCACATCCTGGACCGCGTGTACCTTAGGATGGTTTTCTGTAAGCCGAAGACATCTCTTTATGTTAACATAGTAATTTAAATTTCTTTTCTTTCCAGCTGCCTTTGCTGCGGTACTGCACTGGTAAGATTGTTTTTCTCTTGTGGTCTGTTTTATGCAGATGGTTATAACTTACCCTAGCTGTTCCCCGTAGCTCTCAGGGAATAATTTCAGTATGATAAGGATGAATATATATTCTCATATGCAACACCGTAGTCTGAAAAAGTAGTTTAATTGAAAAATCAGGGTCAGAATAATGTCATTTTTTAATAAAGAGATTCATTATTGAAGAGGTTATATTTGAGACTCTGCTTTGCTTAACATTAGTATAGTGTTCATGTTGAGAGGAAGATTAATTTTTTTAATCTTCTGGATAGAAATAAGAATTTCATTAATCAGACATTTCTGAAATGGTAACCTATTGACATTTATAGTTTATAATTTTATTGTACTTGGCTTAAAATATTATTCTGGTTCATTCTGATTTTAAAATCTAATTTGAGTGGTTTTTTTTTAATAGAGAGAAATTTTAGTGTGAGTATAAGGCATATTGAGCGGAAAAACAAACACGGGTACCATTGTATTTGAGTTTTATTACAGAATTATCTGCAAATCGTTAGGTTAATTTTATTTTTGCTTTTAGTCTTTCTTTCAAAGATACCACTTAAAGTCTCCACACGGTTGCCTTGTTGCTCTTCTGTTTTTGCAGGAGTCATATCACACACCTCTTCGAAAATGACCGTCATTTCTCTCACCTCTCGACATTGGAAAGGGAGATGGCTTTTCGCACTGAAATGGTTAGTTTTCGCATGGTATTTCATTGTAGTATTTTAGGAATTTAAAAATTTTATGCTTTTTCTTATAGAAGTTCTCAAAGATGCTCCAAAGTGGGAAGAGTAGACCCTCCCACCTGCGCAGCCCCAGCCCCTCGCAGCTGCAAGGCCGCCTCTCCCACAAGAAACCGCAGACATTGTATCATTCCACCTGTGAGGTTTTTCGCAGGCATCTTTTGGAAAGGACTTTTTTGTTAACCATGGTACCTTTGTCACACTTGAAAACAATGAACAGCAGTTGCTTAATAGCATCAAGTATCAATCACTTTAAATATCCAATTTTGACTTTTTTTTTTTTCTTGCACAGTTGATGTGTTGGTATGTTTGAATCAGGATCCAAACACTGTCTATTCATTGCATTTAGTTGATGTATCTCCTCTTTCTTAAGTCATTCAACCTATAAATTCCTCTTCCCATTTTTGTTTTATTTTCCTTACTATTTATTTTTTGAAGAATCCTGGCCATTTGTCCTATAGAATTACCCACAATAATTCTTGTTACTTATTATGGTCCACTGTCCTAAGTTTCCTGAAAATTGATAGGTAAGAGTCTCCGTAGCTGAAGGTTTTATTTTTGGGGGGGAGCTGGGGGCAGGAACACTTTGTGAGTGGTGCTTTGCACTCACTACACTGTATGCAGAGGCACGCGTGTCTGCTTGTCTCGCTTTCTGGGACATTAAGATTGATCAGTGGCTTTAGGTATTGTCATCAGCTAGCCGTCAGCCTACACGAGTTATTTTATTGGGATTTCCAAATGGTGATTACCTAGTGCGTTACCTTTTCTGCACTATTAACTGTAATTCTATAAAGAACTTTCCCATAATACATACTTGGTTTCTTAGAGGTACGCTTTGTACAGGTAAGATGGGTTAATTCTCGATTCCTTCTAGTTCTCACCTTTCAGAAAAACAAGTCGGGTCTCCTGCTCCTTCTCCCGGTGGCCAGTGGGGTTTGTCTGCCTCGGGAGCGTCATTATGATCTGATGGCTTTGCACACGTTTTGTAAACTTCCCTGCCTTTCGGAGGTGAAAGCGCCCATGGTGGGCTCCGTGTGTCCTTGACCGCCCTCCTTCCCTGTAGCCTCCTTGCTCTCCGGGGCTCCAGGACTTTCTGTCTCCTGACTGGCGATCACCTGGTTTCCCAGGAAGCCCGATGCCTTTCAGGGGCCGGTGGCCTTGAGAGACCGCTGGTTTGGAGCTGGAGATGCTCACTGCCATGAGGTCGGCCTGCTTAGGAAACAGAATTAGGAAACAAAAATAAACCATTAATTTGTTTTCACATTTTTAAATTCAAATTTAGGATTTCATAGGTTTTACTTATGTTATAGTAAATGTGTAATTTTTCTGTTAACCTGAGAATTCTGGTTTGAAATTACTTATTTTTGAGGAATAACAATGTCTAAGATATTAAAATATAAATATACGATTTCTGAAAACAATGTTAGACTTTCTTGCACTTCAAGTTGGCTTTAGGATAGGTAGTAGGGATGTATAGTAAAATTATTATATATATTTTTAAAATATCTTATTTATTTAATTTTAGACTGAAGGGAAGGGAGGGAGGAAGAGAAATATCAATGTGTCGTTGCCTCTTGCGTGTCTCCCCACTGGGGACCTGGCCTGCAACCCAGGCCTGTGCCCTGACTGGGAACTGAACCGGCAGCCCCCTGGTTTGCAGGCTGGCACTCAATCCACTGAGCCACGCCAGCCAGGGCTATATCTTAAAGTTATTAGAAATCCTCTCCCAACTTGATAGTTAATTTCTTTTTGACATTTTTTGGATAGTTAAGGATTAAAAATTTTTATTTGGTAATTAAGATATTTACATGATTCAAAAATCAAACCTACAAAACAAGGATTCAGATAAGCAGTTGGGGGAACACTTGTGGCTCGTGAAGAATTTGTGGTTCATGGTAAATTAGAGTTTCATAGTAAACCACTCACTCTGTTCCTAAGGGGATCTTCTCTAACAGTTACATTATATGGGTTATAGGGTTTTCTTACATGAAGTATGCTGAGTTATATTATTTTATTTTTTAACGTGGAAACGATTTTTGAAGTTCTTTTGAGCCCAATTGCTTCAGTTAAGAAAAGGTTATACTGAAATATGTCGGATTTTATTTTTGCAACCTAAAACTGTAACAGTGGTTACAAACCTGTGAAATTTGATTGTAGCTGTTAGCTTACTTGATTGCTTTCTTTTTCAAAAACAGTGTATTTTAAGTTTTTTAAAAGCTAATAAGAGGTATAGAAGCTATATCCTTTTTATTATAACTGTGATATGTCCATATTTCAGGGATTATATTATTCCTACTTCAAGACTATTGTGGAAGCACCCTCATTTTTTAACGGAGTGTGGATGATTATGAATGATAAGCTGACTGAATACCCTCTCGTCATTAACACATTAAAAAGGTTCAATCTTTACCCTGAGGTAAGTTACTTTTTCAGTTCTGATTTTCTTTTCTTTTAAAAAAAAGCGTTATTTGTATTAAATGCTAATTCGAAATCTAAGGTGTGAGTCAGCACATTAAATTTTCACTTTTAAAAAGAAAATGTTTCTTTTCTTGGAAAGGATTATGAAAAAAATCACTGACTTGGAAGGGCTTTCACCAGCTCTGGGCACTGCTACACCTGCCCGGTTTAGAGAGCGGGAGGCCACCCGGGATGTGCTTGCAGGGATTGCAGCAAGGGAGCGCCGTTCCTGTCACGTGTCCTTGGCCAGACAGTGCTTCCTGTCTGTCTGGGACGCTTCCTTTAGCTGAACGGACTTGCTCCTGGGGGCCACCCAGGCGGTGAGGGCGGAAGGCAGTGACATCCACCGGTGAGCTGTTAGGGCCTCTCCTGTCCCCTCCCTGCCTTCACGGATGTCCGGACGTCCGTGAACCTTCTCCAGAGCCCGGCTGAGCGCGCCCTCCTCAGTGATACCCTTGATGGGACAGGTGGTTCTCCAGTTACGCGCACTCCCCTGTCCCCCTTCCTAGTGCAGTCCTGCCGCTGGATGGCACGGCTGCTGGGTAGGGGCCCAGGCCGCGGCTCAGCGCCAGCCCCGAGGTGCTCTCGATCATTTCCAGGTGAGCAAATGAGAGGAGTTGAACTTCCAGATCAGCGAGCGAGTCAGCCCGCCTGACTAATGGGGGGACAGAGACCAATAAATAACCCCACGGCTCTGTGTTTTCCTGCTTATTAAGAGTGCTTTCTATAACCGTGTACGCCAGCAGTAGGATCACACAAGAGAAGTGGGATCGCATGGCACAGCTGCTTTTGTGAATGCCTTTTGTCTTTTCAGGCTATTTGTAACCATTTCCCTCTGTCCTCTTTTCTTCCAGTTTCCCTTTTAATGGCTACATGTACGATGTACCGTTGTGTATCTAGTACATGTTTGTGAAAAATCTGCTTGTTTTCAACCTTTTAAAATACTCTTAATGCCACTGTAGCCATCTTTGAGCTAAGTCCTCCCACGTGTCCTTATTTTTTTACCTAGGACTTTGTCGATGTGAAACTATTTACTCCATGGAACATAAATACGCTTTTACGGCCGTGGCGCCTCTCCCTGAAGCGCGCTCCAGAGAGGCTTCACTAATTGAAATTCCCACCAGCAGTGGCTTGAAAATGCTTGTTTACCTGGATCTGTGCTAATTTGATTAATTCTGTGCTCTGCGTGTGTGTCTGAATTTAGCAAAAAAAAGCATTTTCACTTTTAAAAATGCATTTTCATGCCCTTTGTCTTTTCCATTGAGATTGTGTAAGAGTTCATTTATTATATGGAGGAGTGTCTATACTATGTTATGTGGATAAAACATTTTCCCTAACTTTTTGCTTGCCTTTTAGCTTTGTATGATGTGTATGTATTTTTTCTGTACAGAAATATCATATCAGTCTTTTAATGCATGATTTTTCTTTCATTTGTATGTGTAAAATAGCGTCATTCTTTTTAATTGGGATACTTATGTTTTTCCTATTTACATCTTTAGTTTATCTGGGATTTGTTTAGGCGTAGTGTGGGGTAGGAATAGAATAATCTTCCCAGCGCTCCTCTGAGCAACCTGACACTTCGATGTGAGGCCTGTCTTCTCCCCACATTCATTCTTGCACGCAGCATTGCTATACGTCGATGCTTGCTTCCGTGTTTGGACTTTGTGTTGTTGGGTTGGCTTGAGGCTGAGGTCGAGGTCGGGAAGCAGAGTCTGAGATTGAGATGTCCTGCAGGACGGGCGCAGGGTGCCCTGCGGGTCGGCGCCTGAAGGGGGAGGAAGGGGGCAGGAGGAGGCAGCTGGAGGAGGTGGGGCGATGCAGTCACCTCAGAGGCCTCCCAGCCCAGCGTGGCCAGCCCAGCCGGAGCTCTGGGGCAGGGAGGGCTCTGCAGAGTTGTCCATCCTCCGGGCAAGGGCCCTGGGACTGGTCATTCAGAGGCTGCCGTTGTCCTTGGGCGACCTTGAGGGAATTTCCCCTTCAGCAGAGGGTGGCTGCCAGTGCGAGGCTCAGTGGGGGGCTGGCAGGTACACCCGCCCAGCTTCCGGGGCCTGGGGGCCTGCTGGCCCGAGCCCTGAAGGGGTGCGGGTGGTGGCCCTCCACCCCAACGAGGGTCTCTCTGATCTGCGTGGCTGTTCTTTGCCAGCATCACACAGTCTTCATTGTAAGTAACACGTTTTACATGTGTTAAGGAGTCTCTTAAGCTGTCTCCTTTTTGTTATTCTTCTAGGTAACAATTCTAGACAGACACCTGGGATTTTGATTAGTATTGTTTTATGTTTATGAATTAATTGGAAGGAGAATTCACATCTTGAAAAATTGGATTTTTTCAGGAAGACATAGTAATTTTCTAATTGTTCAGATCTTTTATGTTCCTCAGCTAAGGATTATAGCTTCTGAAAGTCGAAATCTGGTCGTCCCTGGCTGCATTTGCTCTTGCCCATGGGCGGACAGTGGGGACCGGCTGGTGCAGGGCCTGTGCCGGGCGCTGTGAGGCTCGCCTTCTGGGATTCAGAGATACCAAGGGATGGTGCCGGAGGGGAAATGTTGATAATTATGAAGTATCTTAAAAATATGCCAGTAATGAAACTGTTGAGGATCATGTCTTTTCTCATATTGTCTCTATTTTGTAAAAATTAGGTAATCTTAGCCAGCTGGTATCGAATTTATACCAAAATAATGGACATGATTGGCATTCAAACCAAGATATGTTGGACGGTTACCAGAGGAGAAGGACTCAGTCCAATCGAAAGCTGCGAAGGCATGTTCCCCCCGTGGGCTTGTCCGGTGGCTGGTGGGTCACAGGCCTGCTCGGTTCCATGATGTTGGAGGCCTCAGCAGGATGTGCGGGGCTGGCGACTGGAACTGCCTGGGGCTGCCACACTGGCCTCTGTGGTAGAGGGGCTGGGCTTGCCGGGGCTGTCACCGGGGCCCCTGCATGTCCTCTTTCCATGCAGCTTGGACTTCGTCCCGCGTGTGTCTCAGGGGAGCCAGGCTTTTCTGCAGTAGCTCAGCTCCCGTGGACACCACGTGGCCTCTGATGACCTGGCCTCAGGAGTCACGTAGTGTGGCTCCCGCACGCTCTGTGGAAGGGGCCACAAGCCCAGCCAGGCCCAGGAGCTGGGTGTGGACCCCGTGCTGGCCCGGGAGGGCGCCTGGGAGTCAGCAGCCCCGCTGTGGCCGCCCAGAGCGGCCACGCTGCCTGTGTGCTGTGGCCACGCTGCCTGTGTGCTGCGGCCGCGTTGTGTGTGGGTGGGTGGGAGCCAGGGCGGCCGTTCGGTGTGGGTGGAAGCCAGGGCGGCTGTATGGTATAGCTGGCAGCCATTTTCAAAGCAAGTACATTTCAATTGCCAGTCACAGAAAGTAATTTTTAAAACATATGTTTTATTTTTAAAGGATTGGGAGATCCTGCCTGCTTTTATGTTGCTGTCATTTTTATTTTAAATGGACTGATGATGGCATTGTTCTTCATTTATGGCACATATTTAAGGTAAGACTGATCATTGAGAATATTTTACTGTGTTTTTACTAATGTATGCTAGAGTAATATAAATAGATTATCATTAAAGTTTGGCTCAGTTTTATAGCAGTGTCATTTCTAATATATGTACTTGTAGATATGCAGGTGCTCCCCATTTGGATGATTTCACCATTGTCATGGCCAGCAAAAGGGAAGATAATTTGAGAGGCTTAGATACATTATGGTGGGCACATTTGATAAATTTTAAGTAGTCATAGGCATTTGAACATAAGCAGTATATATTATTTACATAAAATATAAAGGAAAGGACCACTCATCAAATGGTGTTAATGGCTCTTTGCTAATTTTAAAATAAAAATATTTGTTATGCAGGTATTTACTCTCTGACCTGATTTATTTTGTAATTAAGCAACATTCCTAAAACTAAAGATTAGCAGATTTTCTAAGGGGTTTCCTATTTCTTTCTCTCTCTCTCTTTTTTTTACAATTCTCCACATTGTGTACCTGCTGAACTATTTTACCGTGAGAGTATCCTTAGAAATATTTTTTTTTTAACTGTTTACTGATTCTTTCTAGTACCAAAGTATGAGCATGGGCGTATATATGATCTTCAGGTTGCGTTAATGAGTTTGAACCTGCTATGCTCCCATTATCTTCTTTGATTTGGAAGTGTGGCATTTTCATTTTAGTACCCAATTGAGTTCTTAGCATTTGACTAGATAGCTGTACCTTCATAGATATTTATCAAATGAGGTAGCTATTAGATCAAGTGAGAATATATTTGCATATAGATTGGATACTCTGATGCTAATATTTCTGACTTAGCTCTAAGGAAGTTCTTTTCATTAATTGGGGGAGACTGAACTGAAAATGCATGATTAAAAGATGTGAAAGATTTTGTTTTTGAAACAAGACAATTTAACCAGAAGTGCTTGGTAATCAGGCCAGGAGGCGGAGCTGCGGAAAACAGGGCCAGTGTGCCCTGGGCCGCGATGAGCAAAGGAGAGAAACTGGGCGTTTATTCTTTTTGCTGAGTACTGCTCATCTGTCTTACGGATAGCTTTATTACATTTGAGAGATTAGATTTTAAGTAAGAGAAGTTAAAATACGGAACATGACATTATTGCTAAGTTGCTAATCTATAGTTATGTTACGTTTTTTCATTGCAAGAATAATTTCTGTGCATTTATTAAAAGTCATCATTCAGTGTCGTTTCCTCAAACGCCTTTTACAGCCGTCATTTCCGAGGGTGCAGGTGCCCTGCCGGCTGTGGAGGGTGTCTTCGCTGCTGGGCCGGGCTCCCATGGGCGAGGCCGCAGGGCAGTGGAGCTCGGAGGAAGCCCAAAATCATGGGCGGAACCTGTTAGCTGCAAGTTTTTATATCATTTGGATAAATGACAGGGGAAGCAAGGAGTGACTGCCAGTTCTTCGGCTTACTTTTACCTTTTAAAAATACACGTAATGTAACAAAGGTCTTTCAGGGCTGTAATGGGGGTGAAATGTTTTATCAGTTTAAGAGAAATGGAAGTTATGCATATATAGAGGAACTTTTAAGCGATTAGGTAGGAAGGAGAAGACCTAAGTGAATGAGGAGTCTTCTACATGAGAATAGATAAGGTAACGTTTGCAAGGAACTGGAAGAATGCCTGCCCTCAGAAATTATTTTTTAATTGAATGAAGTGAATAAGTAAATTATGGAAAAGAAAAACTTAGCTTATGGTTGCCCTATATGAGAGGCACAGTAATAGTATATTATCTATCACAGACTTTATTGACATTTACCAATTTAGCAAATATTTTTCTAATGGACTCACCTGACACTTTTCTTCTGCAGATTCCACCCTGTATTTAGAGGTGCTTGTTTGCCGAAGAAATAAATGTAGCACTTACTGTGAACCCAGCTCTAGCCTCAGCTCTTTACTGTCATAAACTCATCTAATCCTTAGAATCAGCCCTGTGAGATAGGTTATAGATGAGGAAACCGAGGAACCAGGATGTTAAATAACCCTCCAAAGGTCATGTAGCAGGTCAGTCGTAGAGGTGGGATTTGAACACAGGCTCCAGTGTGTGTGCCAACAACTCCTGCACTCTGCTACCTTTATGAATATGTGTAAATATTCTTTCCAGTAGTAATTTATTTAATTGCAGCTTTGGTTAATATGTATTTAAAGATATTGAGTAATGAAGAAAAAGCTGTTTATTCCATTTCCAAAGACAGTGGTATTTATATTTCATTAAAAAGTTTCATAAAAATATTTCAAAGATCATGGCCCTCAGGATGTAGATGTCATACTCTTTTCGGGAATAGTTTGCTTCCTGAAGATTCTGAGGTTGCCAGGATTTGCTGTCCTTAGGCTGATACTTCTGCAGGCATTGTTTATTTTAGTTTGCTATGGAGGCGTTTATTCTCTCTAATGTTGCCATTTATCAGGATCCTATTTGACTCCATTTTTAGTTCTCACACATGCAGCTAATGTTATAATCATTTTAATAGTTGCTTCATCAGTTAACTTAGAATCATTTTGTTCTGCTTTATAAATTGGAATGAAAGGTGACACAGTTTGTGTCTCTGTTTGTGATCACATGTCTCTCCCTGATGCGTCATCCTCCATATTGAATTGTGCCCCAAACTTGGAAGTTTTGAATAATTCTGCAGGTTGTGATGTTCAGTCTGTGTTTTTATTTTTTTAAAGTTTCTCCTCTAATGGTTCTTAAGCCCAAATTAATAAAATACACTATTTTATTTCAGTGAATAACAACATCTGTTTTTAATGTTACCTGGAATATTTTTATGATTTTTTTTCCTCCTAGCTCTTTGTCTGACAAATATCAACAGGTCCCCAAATAAGTTTACTGTGTTCTACAGCTAGGTATGATACTTATTAGGATTTTTTAAAATTATTGGTCATTATTTTGCGTGCACATGTGTGACTGTGGCATTATTTCGCTTTTTGCGAGGAGACGACCAGCAGTCCCTCCTTTCATCCCTCTCCACCATCCCCCTGAGGCCCCCACCTCAGATCACTCTGAGGTCTTTGAGGCCGCAGAAAGTCCACTGTGCCAGCCAGCAGTCCGTAGTTACGTTAATACCGCCATCTACATACTGCTCACTGCCGAGTCAGATGCAAGTAATTGTTTACCTGGTGACCAGTTTTTCCCTGTAGTTAATAATTGCCTAATGTTTTATTTTTCATAGTTTTCTATATACCAGTTAATTCCAAATCTACAACTGAACGGTAAAACACTTGCTTTATACTTTGCCAAAACTTTGAAATCCATCGTTTCACCTCTCCCCCCCACCCCGGGTCCCCTCCTCGGGCTCTCTGTGCCCTGGTTCGACCCCACAGCGGCCGGTGGGCCGCATGCCGTTGTGCTGGGACGTGTGGCCGCTGCCGTCCTGAGAATCCCCTCGCTTCTCTTCTCTGGTGTTGGGGCCACGGTTGTTTGATCCTGAATTGGCTTCTTGATGGTTCATGCCTTCCTTTTGGAGGACCCCATCCTCAGGTGGTTTCCAGGAAGGAGTGCATGGAGGGAATTTAAAAATAGGTGTCTTGCACGTTGGAAACTTTTTTTTCTTTTATACTTGATTGCTGGTTTTACGGGTTTCAGAATGGTGTTTTTCCTCAGACTTTGTTCCTCTAAGACTTTGCCTTCTGAGATTTAACAGAGCTTTTCAGAAGTCGGGCCTTGTTCTGCCACCAGTCCCTCTCGATGTGGGCTTGTGTGTTCTCTCTGGCAGCTTTTGTGTCCTCCTTTCTCTCTTTAGTGTCCTAAGGGCCACAGTGTGGCAAACGCTCTCCGTTCGTCCCGTCAGACACTCTGGGCTCCACCGGGACGCTTACGTTCTTCTGTGGTGGGGAAGGCTTCTTCAGGCCCCGTTCCTGTGTTGACTTTCTCTTCTCCATCACCTGTTTTTCTTGAAATCCTATCGTTGGAATAGTTTATCTGGTATGTTTTATTGTACTTCCTGTGAGATTCCAACTTCCTCATGAATTTTGAGCTTGCCGTTTTCTTCTGCCTCATGCATGTCCCTGTCACCTCCAGGTTCCGCTTGAATTTGTGTGCCTGTTTTTCGACGCTGACAGCTTCCTCACAGCCTGGTATTCCATAACCTGACCTGACATTTATATTTCAGATTGACGCAGTTTGTAAGAGGTCATCAGAGGGTTGCAAGGTGGACAGGACTCGCTGCCCAGTGGGTTTTCTTACAGGAGCATCAGACTCGTTCCTTCGTGGGGGACCCAGGCTCCTTTCCTCTTGCAGCTCTTTCGTTTCCCAGCAGAGAGTGGTGGAGGCACACGGGGTTCTGACCTCCTCAGTGCAGAAGGGATGCTGGGGACCAGGGACTGCCCCCGCCCCCCCCCCCCCACTCCCTGGGGCAGGTCCTGCAAGCCCCGCCCCTTTTCCTTTCGCTCTGTTGTGCTGAGACAGTTGTGTGAGGGAACTGTTTAATGATCTTTTTAAATGAACTCCACATTTAATGCCTGCTGCTTAGTATCACTGTGGCCCCTCGGATCTGTCACCGATCTTTCCTCCTCTTTTGAATATGTACCTCTCTCTGTTGGCTTTCACTCAGTTTTCTGTCGCCTCCCAGCTCTCGTGACAAAAGCTGGCCACTCTTTTGTAGATGTAACAAGTCATCAGAAAATGCCTTTTCTTCTACACGGGGAACCAGCCAGTAGGAGAGTGCAGTGCCTTCATCTTCTGATTCTGTTTTTCTCTGTCACCTTCTGTGGTCATTGGAGGTTCTTAGTCACTTCTTTGATTCCAGAAAGAATTTCTTTTAAACTACTATATTTCTAGATATGTTCCAGAAGCCCCAAGGGCCTAGAGGATTAATTAGTCTGTGTGTCAAACCTCCCTTTAGATTTTGCTTAACGTCCCCCTTTCTGTTCTGAAGTGAAGAGTCCTGGTGAATATAGCCAGTCTTCCCTGGTCCTACCCAAGCTACCTACGAGGAGACTCAGTATTCTTTTTAGGCTCTTTGATGGAATAGAGTAGCTTTTTATATCAGTTTTTTACTCCTTTCCTGTATGCCACCTGTTTTAAGGAAGAACTGAATTTTATACTTTTTATGCCAATTTTGCCTCCATTGTTTTGTTTGACTTCTTTTAATCTCTACTTAAAAGAGCCAAATCTTTGCTGTTTAGGCAGGCGGCATTTTTGGCTGCAGACGTGTCTGTAGGAGGCTGTGGGCTGCTCCGGCTCATGCGTCTCCATCCCTGCGGTGTCTGGAATGTTCCGTTACCTTGGCCTGCTAGCACACTTAATCATTTGATTGAGTAGTTGTATATAAATATTTAAAAGGCAAGTGTTTCTCTTTAGTACACATAAATTGATGAAAGTTATTGGTTGAAAATATTGGCATCTTTTCTCCAAAACCTGCCCCTGTTTATGTCACTGTATCAGCAAATGACACTTAACTTCAGTGTTTACTGCCCGAGTCTGAACCCTGTAAGATACCCACGGCTTTCCTCTTTAGTTACATCCTAAACCCAACTAGTCATGAAACCCTGCTGGTTTTCTTTCTTCTGAGCAGCTCTGGCCTCCTTGCCCTTCCGGACAGACAGCAGGGCTCTGCCAAGGGTCAGGAGCAGGCAGGACCTGCAGGTGGCAATCAAGGCGTGCCCCTCCCGCCCCCCCAGCTGGGAGAATTTCCTCAGGAGAGGGAAGCATCTGGGCGGAGCCAGAGGGAAGGATGTGGTTCCCCGTGGAGAGGCGCCTGCGAGGGCACAGGAAAGGTTTGGCGGGGTCACAGCAGAGACACCACTGAACTTGCGGCACTGGTGGTGAGCAGCCGCCCGGTCTGGGCCAGTGGCTGAGGGTCGGGGCGGCCACGGCAGGGCGGTGAGGTGTGTTTGCCCGCGCAGTTCAGAAAGCGGGATGCCAGCAGTCTTTGGATTGAATGGCCTTTTGTGTTTCCTTTCATGTTTTCATTGACTGTCCGCCCCGGGAAGAGCTCAGTCTTAGCACCGTGGCAGCTGCAATGAAGAATCGGGACGTTCACAAACTAGTAAATAAAACCCTCTGGTTCTTGGCCTTGGCAGACAAAGATTCAATTAAAGGCATTAATTGGTTGCTTGTTCCAGACTGGAAGGGCTAAGCTGGAAACTTTTCTCACCCTTCCTCGTTCCCCACCTCCCCTTCGCCTTCACTTTTGGTCAGCCTCTTTCCCTAGTGCCCCAGAGGGTCCCTGCCCGCGGCCTGGGGGCGTGGTCCGCCCGGCTGGCTGGTGCCCGGCAGGTGCCGAGGCCATGAGGTGGGGCTTCTCCTCCTGTAGCGATTCCCAGGTTGTTCTCTGCATTCCCTTAAGCATTCACTCAATGAGCAAGTGAAATCCAGGAGTTATTTAAAAAATTATTTTGAATTAACTGTGATTGCTTTTTCCTCTTTGAGTGTTGAACTTAGCATGTCTCATCATTCTTTGGTAAATAGAGGGAAAACCCTAATGATTAATGAAGCTATGAAAATGCGATGATTGCTTTGAATCCATGTCACTGAAGGATGTAGGAAAAAAGAAAATCATAAAATTATTAAGTGTGAGAACTGAAAAGTATTTTGAAGTTCTTTTTACATTATTATCCCCTTATTTTATTTCTGACAAGATCGAGGCTCCAAAGATAAATGAGATGTATGAGCAAATGTGGTAGATGTTTAGCAAACATCTTAGAGCGTTTTAAAATTTGCGCAATAGCAGCTTTCCTATTTTCTGTCAGTTGGTGGTAATACTGTAGAAGAAACTTTTTTTCCCCAAACCGCTAGGGAATGCTGATATAGTAACTGATCAACTATAATGGGGGAAAAATCAGTTTTGAGCATTCTGGTTAGTACCCCTTTCCTGTTTAGCAAAATAGAAGGACCCCTGCAGTGTCTCTGAGGCCCGAGGGGAGGGAGGGAGGCTCTGGGGACACTGTTGGAGAATGATGGGGGGTCACGTCACTTCACGGTGGCTGTAACTCAGAGCGTTCCTTGTAGATTTAAGCCAAGCATTCCAGTGTCCCAGAAAACCCGCCTCCCGGGCTAGTGGCGCCGAGCTGTCTGCCCTGTCTGTAGGCACTGGAGGTGCCGCAGCCTCGCCTGGGCCGGGGCAGAGCACGGTGACTGCAGGGAGGAAGCCCTTCTCAGGCAAGGCAGGGGGTGCAGAGGGATAGAAGGAAAATAGTAGCCTTTCGCTGCATAAAATGAACGATGTAAAATTTAAAATTGCTGGCAGAATACACTATGCATTCTATCAAAAGACTTTGTCAGACGTAATGAAAAGAAAAAAAGATTTCCCTTACCTTTAAATAGGGAAACAGACAATCCAATAGCAAAATGGACAGGAATGTGAACAGGCAATTCACAGAAGAGAAAAGGTACCTTGTCAAACAAACAACCAACCCACTGAGATGATGGTCTGTACAAGTAGGCAGGAAGTACAACCCAAAATAACAGCGAGAGCAGAGTTTCCACGCACGTGAAGGGCAGATGTGAAAGGTCTGGGCCGTCAGGCCCTGGGCTGTGGAGACGTGGCCCCTCACACATATTGGGGGGTGTGGAAGGGTGTGGCGTCTTTCTGGAAAGTTCACATTCTCTGACGTGGCCATCTCCTAGTTAGGTCTGTCCTCTAGAAACAAAAGTATCAGTATTTACATGCACAAGGGCGTTTATTTTAACTTCTCCTTATAATATCAAGGGATTGAAAAATAACCATCTGTCCAGTAACAGGGAGAGAGGGCTGAACAAATTGCAGTACATTTATACTGTGCAATATTCCACATCTGTTCGAAGAGGGCCTTACGATACATGCCTTAATTAGGAAAAATCTTCATGGTGGATTAATTAGAAAAGGAACACGTTTCCGAGAGAGACTAACAGTACGACCACAATAATGTATATGTTAGTGCGCGTTAGATAGCAAGGATGGACACACACGTGCTCCTATTTCAGATGAGGAGGCTGGGCCAGGTGGCAAGGAGGAAGCCATTTTTAAAGATAGGCAGACCTCTGCTTTTTCTCTTCAAGTAAGTTCATAATATTACAGTAAGCGTACCTACCTACCCGATTCTTTATTGAAAGCCGCAGCTCATTCTCCGCCTTCCCACGGGGTCCCCGGGCAGCGCAGCCGGCGTTGGGAGGGGGCAGCCTTCCGCCGCTGCCCTGCTCTGCTGCTCTCCGCGGCCGTCCCTGCGGCTGCTTCCTGGCCCGTGCGCTCTTCTCGGCCGCTTTGTGTGTCACCGTGCCAGGGAGATAGCCGGCGGGGAATCCCCCAGCCCTGCCCTTCGTGTCCCAGTCAGTCTGGGGTCTTGGGCTTCGGTTGATCCTTCCAAGTCGGCTCCGTGGCCCTCGTGTTCCCGCTCGTTACCTCTCTCCTGAGATGCAGGTGGTGTTTGGGACCGCCTTGTCCCTGGGCCTTTGCACTGCCGCCTCGTCTCTTGAGCGGCAAGTGGCTGTGCCGCGACTCTGGGGAGACTGGCTGCCCCGGAAGCCACTTGCCCTGACCCTGCGAACCTCACCCCCCTCTCATGCCGGCTCACGGGCCAGCTGTGCTGACATTTGTGCTGCAGTTTGAAAACAATTGAAAGATAAAACTTTATCTGTAAACTAATGTTCCCCAAGCATGTTCTGAAGAACAGTAGCTTAGGGATGAGATGAGGTATTTTTCAACCTCATGACTGTACAGCCCTTTTCTGTACCTCCCCTCCCCTTTCCTGAATCTGTGTCCTGAGTCCCAGGAAAGGCAGTGTCAGAAATGCAAAAGGACGCAAACGTATGTGCTCACAAAGAATAAAAAAAAAGAAGAAAAAGATCAGGCTGCATGATGCACAGTAACATGACTATTGAGAATTTCTCATTCCCTGGCAGTTGGAGTGTTTTCCCATACATTTTGAAGATGGAAATGACTTTTTAAAAGTGAAACCTTCTTTGACTGACGATACTGTAGAGGAAATAAGTTAGTTTGTAAATAAGCCCGGTGGAGTCCCAGCGTGGCCGCAGCGTCGGTCCTGCTGGAGGCCGTCGCGTTGTTTCGGGGGTTGGGGGGGCGCTTAGGACTGGCCTGTACTTCCCTTGTGTGAGTCACGTCTTCATCCTCTTTTTCCAGCGGCAGCCGGTTAGGAGGCCTGGTCACGGTGTTGTGCTTCTTTTTCAACCACGGGGAGGTAGGTCCGTCAACCAGTGTTTACCTTCAAAGTCTGGCGAGTTTACTTCTAGAAATAAAAGTTTACTCTATGAGAGTTAAATATTTTTTTAAATTTTAGGAGATTTTTCTTATAGAAATATAAGTTTCTTTTTAAAGTTTAATTTCTTTAAACTCTATAGTAGCATTCTTTAAACATTTGCTCTTATTTTGATTCAGATTGACACACTGGCTTTTATTTTAACTTTTCATGATTGTTCTATGTTTTATGTGATACATCTGTTAGTGATTTGAAGAAGTAGTGGCTCCGTATCAATGCTTTGTATAATTTAAAACGACAAGCTCATGTTTTAGCTGTAATAGACATAAACCGGGCATGGATATAGTTAATTTCCCCGTGTGGAGATAACTTTTTGTTGTACGAGCTATATTGTACATTTCTATTTTAATGCATTTATATTAAACTTTGATATTGTTTTAAGTATCCTTTTTGGACTATTTTATTATAATTATAAATTTGCACAATACCCAAGGGCTTTCTGAGGAGTCAGCCTTGTAGAAAGCGTGGACTCTGGGTCCAGCCTACCTATGTTCAAATCCTGGCTCTGTCATTTAGTGGCTGTGTGACCTGGAAGAGTCATTTAATCTCACTTGCCTTAATTTCCTCTTTGTAAATGGGCATAACAACATTACCCATCTCATGGGATTGTTGGGGGCAGTAAAGGATTCATATGTGCACAGTATCTAGGACCATATTTGACACATAGTAACTACTATGTAACTGTTAGTTTGCATTAGTGTTATTAATGGCTTAGTTTAAAGTCTACTATAAATTCAAGAACTCCTTTCACTAAATTAGAGTTGCAATTGAATTGAAAACCTCTGTCCAGTTTTCTTTTGTGTTAAGTTTTAAATGTCAGCTTGCTTTGTGTGATTGTATACTCGGTGTCTGTGGGCTTTGAATGTGCACGTGTTCCGAAGCTCCAAGAGCAGGTGTTCTAAAACCTAACAGTGGGGTCAGGGCTGAACTTTTTAACTATGCAGTGGTTACTGATGGATATTGAACCAACACACATAGACTATCTAGGATCACAGAAATTTAAAGCTAGAGTAATCTTATAGATTACAGCATTTGACAAATGATTGCAATATAACATCAATTAACTGGTTTGGCCTGAGTTTTGAGTGGAAAAAAGAAAAGGAATCATTTGGCTGTTTTTGACTGTGGATGCTGCTCAGTGTCGTAGGGTGGACCGCAAGCAAAAAGCATAGATTCCATAAGAATGACCTATGGGAAAAGCCTGCCTAACGCCAGAACCCAGGAGTAGTGAGTGGTCATGTCAGATGTTGGAGAAAAGGGATTACTGAAAACCTATATAATTTTATTTACTGTGTCACCACAGTAAATTGAATAAACATTTTGAACAAATTGAAGTAGAAAGGGCTACTGTGTTATCCTTAGCATTAGAAGTTATACATCCTTGATCTTGTTTTTCCTATAATTTTGATGCTCATAGAGCATGAACATCATTTGTTACAAACTCTTTTTAGCTTTTAACAGTGAAATTCAGACTGTTCAGTTCATTTTTCAAGTTGATAGATTTTTAAAAAATATTTTTCATCTACTTGGTATATTTAAATGTGCTTAGTTATCACTTTCTATTTAGGAAAAGGTAATCTCAGTGTGATTAGAATTTTGGTTTTACTGAAATAGGTAGATAATTTACTCACATCAGTAACTAGCTTAGAGTAGAAAAATGACCATTTTGAGTAATGACATATTAAAATTGAGAGCATAAGCTGAAGTTTTGTGTAAAATAATGAGAACTCAAGTAACTGAAAACTATTTTTTTATAATTTTGTATTCATTTTGTTTTTTAGGTTGTGGGATTTTCAGACTCTATATTTTTCTGACTTTTAAAAATGTTGCCTAAAGTATGTAATAAGTATCTCATTTTTACGTGGGGAGAAGCACTTGCTCCCGTCGCTCCTGTTCGCACAGTCAGTGAGCCTTTCTGCAGCGTCGGGGCTTGGCGCCTCTCCCCGCCCCTCACCCCCCAACCCCCGCCCCCGCCCCGGCCCCTCCAGCAGGTGCTGGGCACGCGCTAACTGGTGCCTTTATTCTTAGAAGAGCTATTTTATTTAATCATGCGAGTGAGTGGTTTATGTGCCAGAAAATAGTGGTGAGTCGTTACTTGCTTTTAAGTTCTTTTTCCATTATTTGGCTTGCTCTGTATTTGAGTCTAAGAAAATGTATGACATACTTTTAGAAATAATCTTTCTCTCAGGTGATTTTACAAGGGAAAAATTTTGCCCATACAAAAGAACTACGACATACATAATATAAAAGGATTAACCCCATTATTTAAAACAGAAATTTAAATCTGAAAGATGTGAAAATGCAGTAAAGGAGCTATTAATTGCCTACAGGTTATACATTTCATAATAAAATTATGAAGATGTTTTCGCTTCTCTAGGTTTTTCAAAAAATGGTGATTCTGTTCCTATTGAGAGGTACTGCTAAGAGGAAAGCTCATAGTTTTGTTCTGCCTTCAGAATGTGTCCCCGTACGAGAGATGCAGGCAGCGTGTGTGATGCTGGGGGACTCGGGCGTGACGCTGGCTGGAAAGTGTCCAGATCAGCACATTAAAAAAAACCCTGGACATTTTTTCCCCATTTTGAATGTTAGGAATTTATTATATGTGAACTAGGGTTTGTTTTGCTTTTTCATGGTGGGATTTTTATAACTGTTATAAGTCCTGACTAGTGGTGTTTTCTGTAAACCATGTTCACAGAAATAAATACATGCGCATATGAAGAGGAAAATTCCTATGTTTTTTAAACCAGAGTAATTCAAAGTAGAGGGTCTGGCACAAATAACTTCCTTTTTTATTACAAAAATCATAAGCATGTAATTCTGTAACGTAACAATATCACACTCAAGCACACCATATGCCATTTTAAGTGAAATGTTCAAATTAAAACTATAAATTACTACACCCATATTATTACCCTACCAAGCACATTCAAGCAGGCCTTACTTCTGCTGGGTCCTGTATATAAAAGGATGGCTTTAGAGATGTGTCTAGTTACCCTTTTTATTACCCATAACATATTTTCCTGGCCTGTATTAGTTTCTTAAATGTTTTTGAAATAAACAGATAAAAATATAAAAGTAAATGTACCTATGTCTAATTACTTATTTACATAGTTATGTCATTTATATAAGATTTGGAAAGAAATTCTCAGAACACTTTTAAACAGCTTCATTAGTCCTTACACAGTCTTGTATGGTAGATAAGTGGTAAATTATATTATTCCGATATGCATTAAAATGGAAGCACTGAACGGTTAAGTGTTTGGCTCAAGTATGTTAAGCAGGGAGAGGATTTTAAATTTTCCAACTAACCAGTAATCTTTCCAAATTTCTCTGAACACATGTAACTCTTAGGTAGGGATGTTCTTAGGTAGGGAAACTAATTCTGTTGACTAGAACTTACCTCTTGATTATAATGCTATATAGCCTTTAAAGGAACCCTGCTTGACTTGAAAGACATAATGATTTCTTCTAGTGTGATTAACTTAGTATTATCAGATTTTTATATCTAATCCAATACAGTTCTTTAAAATCAAAGGATGGACTTCATATATTTAGTATACCTGCAGAAAAATGCGTGCATTTGACAACGGAGACCAACGTTATGTAATTAAGCCTAAAGTAAACTTCAGAAAGAGTGATACTTGACTGTTTTAGGACTTTAGTTATTTTATTTGATCCTCTCTGCCACTGTTAAATGCTTTGCAGCCCAGGGTAACTTAGGCAAAGAAGAATTAAAAGCAAAAATGGAATGCCCCCTTTTAGCAGCATTGTGGATAAAAATGCTAGCATTGATGACTGCCGAGAGTTTTGAAGTCTCAGTTATAGGTTTGCTGAAATTCACATGAAAGAAGACAAACGCTGTCAATTTACACAACCAACTCAAAGGAGATGTTTTAATTCTGGCAGCGTGCCTTCCAGCTGGCACTTTCCCCACTGTCCTGTGAGGCCGTAGCTGAAGTTTTTGGTGCCTGGTTGTTGACGGTTGATGTTCGCGTTTCACGGGACCTGTGCTCTGAGCGTCTCCCTCTCACTACTCTCGCTTCCCAGTTTTGCTGTTGGTGGGAATTTGCAGCTTGTTTGACAACACACCATTTAAACTACGTGTGAAAGACTTCTCTTTGTACATGTAAACAGCAGCTTTCACTTGGTGTGTCTTACGGAACAAAATGAGCGCATGTACCATACGCTGATGTTTTCCAGTGCACCCGGGTGATGTGGACGCCGCCGCTCCGCGAAAGCTTCTCCTACCCCTTCCTCGTGCTCCAGATGCTGCTCATCACGCACATTCTCAGGTAACTGCCTCTTGCCCTTGGTCGTGGTCCTTGGCTGCTATTGCCCTGAATAGCGTCCGCTAGAATCTGTAAGCTTCCATAATGAAAAACAATCAATATAGTAACTAAGATCATGCTGATGTTGGGTGGAACTCATCAAGTTATTTTAAGAGTATAATGTCAAAGTGCCATCAAAAACGTTTCCTTAACCTGCCTGCTAGCCTCCTCCTTTTCTCTCCTTGGCCCCCAGACCTGCCTGCGGAGCTGCAAACCGCAGCCGCTTTTTCCGCCCTCTCCGTTCTCCCCAGCCACTTCCTCCACCACCACTGCCTCCCCAAGGCAGGCAGAAAGCAGGGGGAGCGCTGGGGGCAGCAGAGGGTCATTCAGGGCAAAGAGCAGTTCGCAGAAGAGCTGTGGCCAGGTACAGAAACACGTGCACCTCTTCCTCCTCCGTTTGGTCAGCACCCCTGCGAGTCCGCTCCTGGCCTGAGGTGTGCGAGGAGAGTTCCCACCGACAGTCCAGGAAGGGACTGGGCTGGCCGTTCCTCTGGCTTCAGCCGGGGGCCTGACAGGGATTCAGGCGCGGCCCAGGTTGGGAGGAGGACCCAGGACAGTCCTCCCTCCTTCCTGCCGACAAACGCTGAGTTCAGAGGGCGCTGCCTCGGTTCAGAGGGTAAAAATACACCAAAAGGGACCCGTGGTGAAATAGAACAGTGTGGTGAAAATCAGAAGATGACTTGGACTAAGAAGTCCCTTCCGTGACCTGACGGATCCAAGGGAATCTGGTCGAGGCCCGTCACCTCGGACACTTGCCAGCAATGTCGTCAGCAGGAGTAGAGCCAGGGTGTGGCTTTGTCTCTCGTGAGGTGTTTCTAGACGGGTCTCGCGCAGAACAGAACGTCGGGTGGTGGCCGCTTCTCGTTCAGCTCCTGGAGTCCCTGCAGCTCCAGCCTGACAGCTCTCTTAGCTTCCTCTTTTATTCTGGGATTAAAAGCTTCTTTAGTGTAGCATCTTCAGATAAGGAAATCTGTGAATTCCTTACCTTTGGCCTCGAGGCATCTGGGTGGGTGTTCCCTTCTCAGACAGACGGAAGGAAGTGACGAGTGCTGTTGGCCACTGCGCTGTGTTTCCATGTCCCCAGCCCTGACCTTGGCTTGTTTCTCCAGTGGGCTGTGGGCTGCCCAGAGTCTCTAGCTCCTGAGTTTCCGCAGCCTCTGCTTCTGTTAAATTCAGCGATGGCAACCTTTGCCTCCTCCCATACTCCCTCACCCGCAGGCTCTGATCCAGCGCTGCTCACCTGCCAGGCGCTGCTTCCTTTAATCCATCCTGGGGGGCCTGCGGCAGAAGGTTCTGCTGGTTCTCTGGTGCTACTTTAACAGATTGCAGCAGACTTCAGTTTATTGTCTTACCTCTTACAGTCCTGGAGGTTAAAATCGAGGCGTTGGCAGGGCTGTACTCCTTCTTGAGGTTCAAGGGGAGAACCGATTGCCTGGCCCTTTCTGACTTCGGGAGGCTGTGTGCGTTCCTTGGCGCATAGCCCCTTCCGTCTTCAGAACTGGCAATGGCAGGCCGAGTCCTCCTCTCCTCAGTTTGCTCCAACCTTCTAGGACTTCGAAGGACCCCTCCACTGGGATAATCCAGAATAATCTCCCTATCTGAAGGTCAGCTGATGGGTGACCTTCACTCCCCTTTCCCCTGTAATGTGACAGTTTCCAGGGATTAGGACGCAGACCTGTTTCGAGGCTTCCCTTTTGGGTTTTGCAGAATAGTTTCAGGTTTTTTCCATGGGTGTGGAGTCTGGTGGCTGCTTCCCTTCGCCTGTGGTGGCAGCTGCTTCCCCGGCAAATCGCGCCCTCCTTTCCTGGAGGAGCCACCTTCCTGCCTGTTGTCCAAGGGGTGGCAGCTCATCCCTGGTGGTCACCCAAGTCTTCCGGCACTTCATGTTTATCACCGAATTCTGTCTCCTATGGTGGCACAGCCACGTTCCTGAGCGCCGGGTTCCCTCCTGTAGCCGACGTCCCGGGAGGCGGGGGAGCGACGGCGGGGGGAGCCTAGCAGCAGCAGGCAGCGCGGAGGTGGCTGCAGCTCCTGGGGGTGTTGTTGTGCAGCTGGAGAAGGGACTGCCCCTAACCCTGGGAGTCATATATAAGTAAGGGTAGGAGGGTATCTTATCTTAGCATGTTGGTTTTGTCCAGTTGACATTTAAATATTTTTGGAAATTCGGTTTCGTATAAATCGCCTCCTACCAGCCACAGCCTTAGCTCGTTCTTGGCGGTTCGTGGCCCCACCTGCATTTCCGCTTCTGCTGTCTGGGTTCAGTGCCGTGTTGATGCCGTCACCAGCTGAAATTCCTTGGCTCCCTGTTTGCTCCTCTCTCCCCAGTGTATTCCGTACCCAGCTGCCAGATTAGCGTTATGTTATGCTCAGTAACCTTTGCTTCCATAAAATGAAAATCACGATCAGTATTCAAAAGCAGGAGGAAAATGCTTTATTTTAGACAGGGCTTTCACCTCTTTGACTGTGATCTACAAGAAAGAAGAAATACATTTTACATTGTGACCTAGTGTGTCCATGTGCGATGTCCACACGCAGCACAGTTTCATGGGATGCAGCCCTTATTAGGTATGATGGAAGCAAATTTTTTTCACTGTGCTCCATTAAAAATGTCTGGTTCTTATCTAATACTTTTGTGACTGGGTTTTAAAATTGCTCAATGCAGGGGCATGGCAGACAGAGCTGGACTGGAAGAGCACAGAGGCAGGTCTTTTGGAGAAGGGACACTCGAGGAAACAGACCTGCCCAGTGCCCCGTCCCTTCCGAGATTTCTCCCCCTGTCTGGGGCACCTTGTGGCCCAGGATGTCCATGGGCACACTTCCCCCTGCGGAGACGCTAGGTGTGGTGGAGCCTTTGCATCGGCTCGCTGATTTACGAGGAAAGTAGCTGTTAAAAATGACGTGAAAGAGAAAAGCACCTTGCCCTCCTAAAAATTCCCTAAGTTATAAGTTGGACCAAAGTGAGGCATCTGTTGCCTCAGAGCGACCCCTGCCTTTGGGCCCTCTTGCCTTGTCTGTGCCCGAGCTGTGCAGAACCAGCTTCTATCCCGCACCCTCCCCAGAGGCCCCTTCTGCTGCTCGGCGTGAAGCCGCGCAGGGCTTCTCTGCAGAGTCCTGAGCGGCTGATGCTCCTGCTTCCTGTGGTTTTTCACAGACATCTCCATCTCGCCGAAGGAATCTGCCAAAATACAGTTAGAAAAATTCAGTGGCTATGCCGACCCAGGTGCCCCCCGCCCCTTTGGCAGGCTTTGTTTTTATAGTAATAATGGGTATTTCTCATAGAAAGTTGTTGAATTGAGTGTCACACGGTATGATCTCTAACCCATTGGTTCGTTTTGTCCAGTTTACGGTATAACATATCATGTTTAGAGATTCTAATTTGTGGCAGTTTGGAGGCACGCTAGAATATTTTGTGGTTAAATTCAACGATTTTTGTTTTCTCAAGGGCCACAAAACTCTACCGAGGAAGCTTGGTTGCACTCTGCATTTCCAACGTGTTTTTCATGCTTCCGTGGCAGTTCGCACAGTTTGTACTTCTTACTCAGGTAAGGGGCTTACGTTTCTCAACTGAATGAGGCTCGTTTATATAAAATTATAGAATTGATATGTTGTATGCTTCTGACTCCTAAAATGTTTCTTAGTTAATCCTTTTAAACAAACTTCAGGGTAGGGAAATATGTAGGATTTACTTATTATTGGGTGTCAGTACGAGGAGAATGCATTTATTGAACTGGCATTTGTAAGAATGCTTATCTCTGTTACTCAGTGTTTGTTAGTGCGCTTAAAAGAGGGCGAGTACTACACCTTGATGTATTTCTTTTAGGGAAATGTATTTCTGTTATGGATAATGCTGTACATTCTTATACCTTGGAGAAACACACATAAGATGAATAGCAAAAGAGTTCCTGTTTAAGGAGCTCTGCACCGGCCTGTAAAGGGCGTGTCCTCTTTTCCTGTCCTCCCGTGTCCCTCTCCAGGCAGAGGCCCCTGGAACAAGGGCCCGCCGCTGTGGAGAGGGGGGAACAGTGTCTGTCTCGACTGGGCCCCGGCCAGCTGCCACTTGGTTGTGCTGGCCAAATTATATTCGTAGAATGCAGTGTAAGAGTTGCTTTTTCTTGTCCTTTGAGATTTCATACTTGAGAAAAGAAGTCAGGGCTGGATCTCGTCCTGACTCTGTGCCCTAGCTTCTCAGCTCAGACCAACGGCTTAGCTTTCCTCAGTTGCAGTGTCCTCATTGTGAAATAGAGACGTGAGAGCTGCCTTTGTGGCACTGTGGGTAGGGTCCCGGCCAGATGAGGTAGCGCCTAGGGCTCTTAACACACTTGGTGCTTCTGCCGGACAGGTGAGCTGCTTTTACTGTTGCTGTTTAAAAAGAGGCTTTATTTGTACGCAGTTCCTTCTTTGATCTCATCTCTTTGGCTCCTTTGTCATCTCTCACAGGATGATGTTGTAAATGTGTGTGGTTTCAAGTGTCCCCGAGTCCCTCTTTAAGATCCTGCCCTGTGGGCTGTAGTGTGTTGCTTAGGCCCTGGGTGGAAGGGGAGTGGTCCCCTCGCTTCCAGGGAGAGGAGGGGGGCCTGCCTTTGGGGGTGGGGTCGGTGGGGCTGTCCTGGGGCGTCCTGGAGTGTGGGGTGGGGCTGCACGCTTCTCTGTGGGGTTTCTGTTGCATGACAGCGCCCACTTCTCCGCGCTGTGATGGCACATCCGTCACCCCAGCAGTGCAGTGGCCCTTGGTTTTCTCGCCGAGGGGAACTTTGTTGTGGCTTGTTTGCAGGTAAAACACTTGAGGAGTGGCACTTACCTTACCTGTTTAACTACTTGGCTGTTTGCATAGTAGGAGGAGCCTGGAGTCCAGTTTGAATTCCTGTCTCCGTGGAGAAGCAGGGACAGGCTCCATTTGACACGATATCTCTGTGTTTTACTCAGAGGCGTGCTTTCCTCATTCAGATAGTTCATCTAAATACCCCTGGTGCGCTCAGAATTCTTGGTGAACACACATGCAATTTTCTTCAAAACTATATAGAAACTTCAAATACCTTTGGAATGAAGTGCTTCTCATTTGAAATGTGATGAATTAGATAACCAACACTCGACTGTTTGTGTGAATGAAAGAGAACACTAATGGAGGTACTTGTAAAGAGTGGCTAACAAGCAGAACTTAATGTATTTTTATACACACACGCATTACATAATTATTTTTGAGTTTAATGTACCGTCTCCAATTAGGTACCAATCATCATACATTATATTTTCCTATTGTTTCATTGGGCAGGGCCGTTCGTAATCATGCATGTTGGCAGTAGAGTCACCCTGACATTAAAATGACTGTCATTTTGGATAATTTACAGAGGAGATCATTTGAATGGTTAATTGAGAGAGCTGTGTATGGAAAAGAAAAATCAACCAATATTTCCTATATTAATATACTGACCGTATCCAATAATAAATTGTTGAGTAAGAGGGCAACTGAAGAACTCACTTTCAAAGTAAATAAAAACTAATTTGAAACAACAATAAAAATAATCTTTTTTATTCTTAAAGCTATCCATTGTATATATAATTTTCATTTTTAACTTCTTTTTCAATTTCAGATTGCGTCATTATTCACAGTCTATGTCGTGGGATACATTGATATATGCAAGTTACGGAAGATCATTTATATACACATGGTAATGGTTTTTAAATTTGTCTTTTGTTCCCCCTTTGAGTTGATCTTAAAACAAACTCCTGATTAGTACTTGATTTGCTTATGGCTGAAACAAGTAGTAACATGATTCTATGACTAAAGCAAGTGTCACTCAAAAACTGATCCAGTTAACAGACCTTGATTTAAATAAGGTACCCAAGGCGTTTTAATTTGGGTTGTTTTATCTGATTTGAGTCATTGGGCCTGACTTAACACGTTATCCATAAGAGAGATAATTCATGAAAGAGAAACATGGAGTGATATATTATCCAAGGGTCTTCTATTAAGAGGATGAGGAATGTTCGTTTACTGAGCACCGAGTATCCAGCCACGTGGGCATACCAGTGAATAGAGCAGCAAAGACCCCAGCACACGTGTTGATTACATTCTAGGAGAGTGGAGGAAGAGAGAAGACGGGGATAAATAATAAATACAGTAACAGGGTAGATGGCACAGTATGTAGATGAAAGGAAAGTCCTGGCTCCCCAGGGAGATGGGGGGTAGAGGTAGCAAACGGGTGGGCAAGGAAGCTCCCGCTGAGATGGGGCTGGAGCAGAGGTGTGGGGGGCGGGCTGTTCGCTAAGGAGATTTCACCGAGAGGGATGTCCTGGGTCCGTGAAACCGCCAGAGCAAATGCGCGAAGCCTGGGTGGGTGGTTTTGATGAGCATTTATTCTTTAAAAACATTTGTCTTCTTTTTTTGTCATTAGTTCTGAAAATTCCAATGTTTTTTCCCCATAATTTTAATGTTATTACAGTATGCAGTTGTTATTTTTTATTCTCTAATAATTGATACGTATAAAAGAACATTTATAATACCTAGGGAAGCTGTGAACAAAGTTATGAAACGAACCGCCATGAGCCTGCCCTCCAGTTGAAGGCTAGAAGCGCCCTTGCTTCGAGGCCCTGGCGTGGCCTGCACCCTCGCCGCCCCCTAGGGACGGCCACTGCCCTGGCCTGTGAAATTATGCTGGACTTGCTCTCCCTCGTGCCTTCGCTGTGCGTGCGTTGCTGAGCAGTACGCCGCTGGGGCGGGGGGGGGGAGGGCAGTTAACAGTTGTTCCTGTGGAAAACAATATAGCAGTCAGTAATGGTGCCAGATAAACTCTGTTTCTTGTACTCACAACAGTAATCCTCCTTGTGCTCCACCTTGTATTTTTATGCTAAACATTAACATTATTTTTAAGGTTTGTAAAAATGGTATACTTTGATGAGACTTGCATTTTTACTCAGGTTTCTGAGATTTCTGTGTTACTGGAGTTTAGACATGTCTTTGCTTTATGTTTTCCATTGTGTAAATAAAACACAACTTATTTATCCATTTTCTTATTGGAAGACATTTAGATTTTCTCCCTCTGTTTTTGTCTTTTATGAGTAACGCTGTACATCTTCCTACATACCTCAGGGGGTGTGTATACTGAGTTTCTGTAGGGCGCTTACCTAGTAGCAGAATTTCTGGGTGGCAGATTATATACATGCTCAACTTCATGATTTAATACTGCCTTGATTTTCAAAAGTGGTTAGACTCTTTCCAACAGTAATGTGTAACAGTTCATGTTTTTCTATATCCTTTTCTATTTTGTTAATCTGATAAGTATACAATGGTGTCTTATGGCTTTAATTTGTATCTTCTCTCACTCTGAGTAAAGCTGAACATCTTTTGGTGTGTTTGTGTTTCCCTTTTTGTGACACTCCTATTCATATCTTCTGCCGTTTTTCTCTAATGTCTAAGAGAGATGGCGTCTGTTTTCTTCACTGCAGTGTGATCCACTATTTTCACTATCTGTTTTGATGCTTGCATTGTTCCCTGTTGGGCAACTTCAGGCTGTCTTCTCTGTCTGTTTAACATGCCCTCATTGTGCTTTGAGCACTTTTTAAAAGAAATTTATAGAGGCTAAACTTCATCAAATGCTTTTTTGCATCTTTCTAGATGATCTCATGTATTTTTCCCTGCTTAATATGTTACAATTATGAATTATATTGATAGATTTTCTACATTAAGAAACCTCGCTTTTCTCCTAAACACAGCTTGTATACAGCGCTGGGTTTACTTTGGTATTATTTTGTCAGGATTCTTAAATATCTATTCATGAACGGGACTGGACAGTCAATTCTTTTTAACACTTGACTGACTTTTTCTCCAAACTGTTTAATAGAATTTTTTAACATTGCAGTAAAACCTCGGTGCATTTAGGTTCCGTCAGTCACACAATCACGTAGGCAGCTACGGGTGAGGACTTGGACCCAAAGTTACAGTGAAGAAGTACTAACATTACAAAGGTTTACCTTGTAGTAGAGCCTCTCTTGGTAACTGATTTTTGCTTTATGGTGTGACTTCTAAATAGGAAACATCTTCCATTATCCCTTCACAAATTCCTATGTTTCATAAAGAGGGAAAAATAGAATTACCTCCAAAAAGGGTTTTTCCCCATTGTTTTTATTGTGGTAAACTACATAATATAAAATGTACCACCCTAGTCTTTTAAAATGTACACACCAGTGATGTTAAGGACATCCAGACTCCGTGGTAGTACGCAACCACCGCCACCGGCCATCTTCAAACTCCTCATCTTGCAACACTGAAACTGTATCCCTTACACAGCAGTTCCCTGCTCTGCTTCCTCCCCCAGCCCCTGGAAACCACCTCCAGATCCTGCTTTCTCTGTCTGTGATTCTAACTACTCTAGGTACTTCCTGCAAGTGAAATTGTGCAGTATTTGTCTTTCCCTAGAGATTTTTTTACCCAGCCCAATGTTCTCAAGGTCCATTTATGTCGATGCAAATGGCCGAATTTCCTTTTCTATGGCTGTGTAGTATCATGTATATTCACATATATATTCATTTATCAGTATATGCTTATGTGTCCAGGGGTGGGCAAAAGTAGGTTTACAGTTGTAATACAAATAAATAATACAATAATTAACAAATAATATAAGAATAAACTCTTTCCTGTACTCACCACTGTAAACCTATGTTTTTGCTCACTCCTATATATTCATATATATGTGCACATATGTACCACATTTTCAATATCTATGCATATAAAAATATTTGCAATGTTTATTTGATAAGAAGTTATGTTCTATAACAAGAGCTTTTAAGGAAAATAACCAAAACCCAATAGAAAAATGGGCAGTAGGACTAGATGGCACACACATACACACATGTACAACATATAACACAGTAACAACAACGTGAACAGCAGATAGAAGAAAAGACACTGTGTCTCACTCATTATTAAATTAAAAGTAGGACAGTGTGGCAACATTTTTCTTAGATTGGCAGCTATTTAAAAGGATGGTAGGTACACAGTGTTGCAGGAATGTGTATCAGCAGGAACCCCCATTGCCCTGTTGGTGGGAGAGTAAATTGGTACAGTATTTTGCGTGGCAATGTGTTTTTCAGATTTTAAAATGTATACCTTTAATCCATCAATTTCACTTCTAGTAATTTATCCCTAAATATATTGATATGTATGCACAGAATGATGTTTTTCATAGCAGGGTTTGTATAGAAAAATACAAAATAACAACAGAACAACACCGGAAGGCATTAAGTATTCAGCAATAGGTAGAGGACTGGTTACATTTATTCAACAGAATGGATGAGATTGGTCTGGATTGATAAGGAAGCTCTCTGAAACAAATTAAGAGTTAAAACAACCAATGGTATATAAGTTTCCATTTGAGGTTTTTAAAAAAATGTAAACTAGAATTTGTACAATTGAACTCTGGAAGGATACACAAGACAGTGTTGAGATTGGCGATCTTTCGGGGGCTGAAGTGTGGGGAAGGACGTGGGCTGTTTGCATTAGATGCTCCCTTGGAACAGTTTGAATTTTGTTTGTCATGGGCATGTGCGGTTTTTTTTGTTTTATGTGCATTAATTATATTTTTCTTGGATTTTTCCAGATTTCTCTTGCACTTTGTTTTGTTTTGATGTTTGGAAACTCAATGTTATTAACTTCTTATTATGCTTCCTCTTTGGTGATTATTTGGGTAAGTATTCTCTAAGTACGTGGCTGTTTTTGAAATTAATGCTTTACCAGTTTCCTGATCACTGGCTTGGGGTTTGTGAGGGATTTTCTGTGAGAAACATCTCAGTGTGTTACTGAGTACATCTGTCCATGACCAAGTGTTCGAGAACTCGCTTCCAGCACAGCAAAGAAACGCAACAGAGGTTCACGAGGGGAAGCCTAGCGCCTGGCCTCGGTGAGAGAGCTGCCCGTTCTCCTTCCACATCTTTGCTGCTGCCTAAGTTTTCGTCCCAGGGTTAATTTTAGAAGTTTCTATGCTTGCCTCTGTTTCCTGTTCTCCTCTCCCCTTTTTAGTTTTTGTCCGATTCCCGCTCCCCTCCCTGATCCCCTTTCCTCCCTGCGGCATCTCCCAGCAGCCTCTCCTCCTTGGTCCCCTTGACCTGAGGCCTGAGGCCTTGGTTTTTCAGGGTCTTCCCTCGTGTTTATTTGTGTGGATTATTCAGATGGTTTAAACTGGTAATGATTCAGTAGTAGTTTGCTGAGTCAGTCCTGACTGAGAGGATCAGGAGACTAGGGACAGAATTAGAGCGGACGGGGAAAGGCCACCTACCTCTTTCACTGCTTTGGTAGCATGACTTTCTAAGTATACATTTTCCTGAATTGAAGGACTTCCAGAAGTGGCTCTCCTTTCTTCTCAGTGGGCTTCACCATTGCAATATTTTGCAACCCTAAGAAGAAAGAAGTTACTTCTATATTTAGTACCGGTTGGTTTCTGGAAGACAAAAACCTACTGTACTGTCATAGTCGAAATGTATTCTATTTCTTAAATAATCGTTTAAATTGTTCAGATCAATTTGGCTTTCTTGATTTCTAAAACCCCTTAGCAAATTTGGAACCTCCTATTTCTTTGTCTCATTTTACAAGTAATGTGTGTCTAAGATCTTATTTCTCAAAGATTTGCTGCTTTTCAGACTGTGTGACTCGAGGATACCTGGTCACAAAAGTTAGCAATTAGCATGTGATGGTGCTGTGTTTTCAACAATGGCAAAAAAAATTCACTCACCGAGTTGCTGTGCTTTGAGATGAATGATAGTTTTTACAGTTAGTGAATTATGTTTGTAATTAGGAAACATGAAAATATACTCAATTCTCTATTTTACACGTGTACACGGACAGGGTCTGCTACTACTCAGGTTCAAGCATGTGACTCTTGGGACTTGTGTGTTCCAGGGAAGCCACTGAATGGAAGATGACACATCAGTAGAATTTAATCTAAGCACATTTTGTAGGAAATTTGTCTTTGTTCACTTGAACACCTACAATGTGTCAGGTTTCCTCCAAAGTGCTTGACACTGAGGTGTGTTGTAGGTTATGAATTATGCAATTTATGTATATTTCATATAGTTTGTTGTCTAAAAATAAATGATGCCACAGTTGCAGAATATAGCATGTTTTTGCATATTTAACTATAAACAAGTACTTGCCTGTTTTTGTTTATAGTTATCACTTTGCAACACGAATCTTAACACATTCGTGATCACAGATATTCAGAAACTTCTGAAGAGATTTCATTTGGGTCCATATATTTATGTTTTGACCTCTGACTCTATTTTTGCCAAGTTTGAAGTAGATTTAGATCCCTATAAGTATTATATTTTGAGAATGTATTATGTACTTGGAAAGACACGAGATTTGATAAGGAAGTATTTAGTTGATTCATTAAAAACTTATTTGTAGTTTATCCTAAGAATTAATAATAGTTAACGTAAGAAAAATCTTATGGCTATAAGACATCTGTCTAAAATTCTGAATTCATTTTATATTTCTTGATTTCTAGGTAAATCAGAGATAGAAAAGTCACTCATAAAAATTAATATGTGACTCTGTTTTCAATTATACGAAGTCACTAACTGACCTAATCCACTTTGGTTAAAATAGGGCTTGTTCTTGAAGCCAGTGAGCCAGTGCTGATGCTCTATGGAATGTCAACAGTGTGCAGAATTTTAGGTTCTTCAGAGTCTTATTATTTAGAAGTACTTTCTGGCACTTGAATTTATAAGTATTAACTGTATGCTGTGTTATTTTCTCCATGCAGGGTGTACTGGCAATGAAACCACATTTCCTGAAAATAAATGTATCTGAACTTAGTTTATGGGTAAGAATCAATCTATTTGAATGCATACATTTTTCTTCTCTAAAATATGTCATTGGTTTTATGTTTCACTTTTAAGGAAACAATCTATGCAATGCCGGGGATCTAACAGTTTTATGACATGTTAGAGCTCAGTTTTAATGTACCAAATTGCCCTTTTCATGACGCAAGTTAAGATTAATATTTGATAGGTAGTTAAAGAATTCCATTTTTTTTTTATTATCCATGTTTTTGCTAAGGAGCAGTCCATATGTAAGGAACTGTTGGTAGCAGAAGACTTTAACTGCAGTTGCTGTAGAAATCTTCTAGAAAGTATTAATTTTTCCAATGCGATTGTATGTTTATATGTTTATTTTTAGTGATAGCTCCTTAATTTTGAAGTAATGTTATTTTAATTTAAGGTGCATTTTTTTTTTCTATTTTAGCATTTTCTCTTGCTTGTGGAGATAGTTATTTGATATGTGATTAAAGCATTTTTTTCTTCCTGGACTCTGTCTATGGAATGACTGTAGAAAGCATGTTTGTTTTGTTTTGTTATTTTTCCTTTTGTAGGTTATCCAAGGATGTTTTTGGTTATTTGGAACTGTCATACTCAAGTATTTGACATCTAAAATCTTTGGCATTGCAGATGATGTGAGTACATTTGTGCTTAGACTGAAAGACTTGAATCAAACAGGCTATAAACAAATTACTTGAGTTATTAAAATACCACTATTTAAGCCAAATTCCAAGAGGAAGAATTTTCATCTGTTTTTTATCTATCTAGTTTGTATTTTACTTGATGTTTTAGACTTATTTCTCCTTTTCAATGGACAGATGGCTTTCTTATGCTGTTTTAGGTGCTGTTTGTTCCCCCTATTGATTCCTTAAACGTGTTAGCACACGCTTCTTCTCAAGCAGGAGTGCCGAAATTCTTCTCCACGCCTTCACTGCCCCTCAGCCCGTCCCCTCACCTGGCCCCCCGGGCCCCCCTGCCCCCACTACCCCCCCTCCCCAATGCCACGGGGGATTGTAGTCACAGTTTGTTTTAGATGTAATTCCGCCCCACCCCCACCCCCATCTTTGGTTCTTGCTTTTTTGGACAACAGTGAATTGAAAGTTTGGCAAATGTCTCCTTCATTAAATGAAAATAATCTACATTCCTCACATGGCTTTCTGTGGGGAACAGCGACTGATGTGAGCGAGAGCACCTGGTGACAGGAAACGATCACACAGGTGTTGGCCATCGGCAGAAAGAGCGTGCTGTCCCAAGGCCTCCCCATTTGATACTTCTTGCAAAGAGCCTTCAGTCCCCTTCCCAGAAATCTGAATGAGTGTCTCCTTTTCTTTACTCTGTTGCACTTGGTCCTTTCATGAGTGACAGAGGTATCTGTGTGACCAGGCCCACCTGTCCCCGTGTAACATGTTGCACCGGGTGGAGCTCGCTGAGCAGGGAAACACAGGGAAAGGCTTTGGTTTGTTGATCAGTTTTGGGAGTCGGGATTGTGGGACCTCTCATTTGTCAGCAAAAGAAGAGAGGACTGTGAAGTTAGAGGGGACAGTACTTTCCTAACAAAAGCTCACTGTGTGGGAACAGTGAGGTCTGTAACATAGTGAAGGCTATTTTTAGATACTACTAAGGTTAAAATGCTTTATTACCATCTGTGGTGTAATCTAATGGTACCTCATTTTATTCCTTACTAGGCTCACATTGGCAACTTACTAACATCAAAATTCTTCAGTTACAAGGATTTTGATACTTTATTGTATACTTGTGCAGCAGAGTTCGACTTTATGGAAAAGGAGGTAAGATATGATGATTTCTGGTTTTTTCCCTTAGGTTTTGGCTCATTCATTTTTCAGAAAGGAAGTTCCTGTTATTTCAGACTCTGTCCTTTGTGCTGTTGTCTAAGTTTGAAGGAAAAGAAAAACCTGGCTGCAGAGAGGAAGCTGTTCCTGTTTACCTTAGCGTAGCCCCCTGATGTGCACGGTCCTTTCCTCATTCTAGTAACGTGGACGCAGGCCTTGGGCTGGCAGTTGTTGGAGTAAACACAGGCATTGCCAGCTGCCTCTTTCTAGGGGCAGCGGTGATTCAGTGAAGCTCAGGCTCTTACTTCCCGCTCGCTGTACGGTGCTTTGTTTGAATGATCTCACTGCTTTGAAATAAGATTGAGCACACATTTCTTATTCAACAGCATTTCTCTTTTAAAACTGTATTCAGATGTTTAGAAGGAAACCAAGAGTAGTTTAGTGGGTTGTGAGATGAGTCTGCAGTACCACTTAGTGTTCTTGAACTAAGGACTCCCATTGTGTGTGTCTTAGCTACTAGTTCCTGCTGGTATGCTGCGGACAGGAGAGGTGAGTACCGACTGAGGTACCTAAGAAAGTACTTCACTGTGTTAATACTTCATAGAAAATATGGCTTTGCAGTACTTTATGAGCGGGTTTGGTTCAACAACCAGGTATATATGGGTCTTTTCACACCACCCCTGTGGCCTGATTCATTATGATAGTTTATCTCTGAGATACATTTCTTCAAAATTGTGTTATGTGTTCAACGGGCCAACAATACTCTGTTGCCACTTGCATTTTGTCCCTCAGCTCCCACTGGGTTAGCCTGTGTCCCGACTTGCAGACCAGTGGACAGCAGCGCGCCCCACTGCAGACCCTCAGCCGGCCAGCTGTCCTGGGCTGGGTGCGCCCCGCACGTGTGCTGTGGGGCCGGGGGCCCCTGGTCTGCATTCCCTGCGGCCTGGCGCGTGGGCGTGACGCGTGCTGGCTGAGGAAGGGCGCAGAGACAGTGTTGTCCTGCTGGAGGACAGGAAGGAGGAGGATCTTGCAAGACAGTAAAGTGCGCATTAATAGGTGGGCAAGACTCCTTCAAGAAAGTGGTAAAGGAAGTAGAGGGTGAAGCAGCAGCAGAGAATTAGGACACAGAAGCCCTTTGACATTAATGAGGGTGGGTGTGCCACTGAGCCTGCAGTCCCTCAGTGATGTGAGAGAAGAAACTGTCACTGAGCCTCAGCATGACTCCAGTCGTTTGGAAGAAAATGGCAAAGCTCTTGCAGCCTGCAGTTCCCCATCTCCATAGGGACCTTCCTGGGGACTGGGCCCGGTCAGATTGCACGGCATGTCCACGCGGTGGAAGAAGGAGCGATTTAACATGACTGCTCACTGATTCGGAAAGGCACTTAAAGGTGTATAATAGAATGAGCGAAACTGTACAATCTTAATTACTTACATTAGTGTGCAAGAGCAAAATGTTAACGATGGTTTCTGGGTGGGGAGATAATCAGTAATTAACTTTTTTTGTTATTTGCATCTTCTAAATTTTCTACAGTAATTATGTATTAATTATGTTATTTAAAAGAAAGGAAACTCAATACAGGGATCTTTCCCTTTCAGATAAGAAAATGGATGGCAAGGAACATGTATAAGGGACTGATGGACAAAGCCAAAGTGGGGAAGGATTGAGGGTGGGAGGTGGGGGTGGGGCAGGGGAAGTGGTGGCGGGAAAATGAAGACAGATGTATTTGAACAATAGAAAATGTAAAAAAGAAAAAAAGTATTGAAAGTACAGGGCACCAAGGGAGGGACGTTTTTATGGTCAAATATAGACAAAACTGGATAGACCCATTTGTACATACTTAACTGTGTTTATGAGTATGTACTCAGTATGAAATGAATGGAGGGAGCACACAGATAAATGATATAGATTATTTCATGAATGTTGTATTTGGGGTCTGTTTAAAGCTTTGTATCACATTATACACCAGACTACTTCAGTTAATTCATGTGTTAAAAATAATGAAGCCTGAAAACTAAATTTGAGAGGCATTTCAGTGAACATTAACTTCATTTCTTAATGAGCATAATACCAGTGCAGACCACATATGAGAATGATGAATAGATTTGTGTGCATGTAACTTAAAACACCTGTACATTAAATATTGTAAAAATCAAAAAGCAGATGAGTAACTGGGACGATTCCTGCCATAAATAGAACAAATGAAACTAGAGATTAATTAGCATAGGAGCTTGTTTAAATCAATTAAAAGTCACCAAGAACTCTCACCTTTCCCCCACCACCAAAAACACATCCCCGCACCCACACACAGGCAGCAATGGGGAAGGATGCGGACGAACAGTCCATCGGGGAGGAATGCTGGTGACTGATTAAATGTGAAAGTGTCTTCTTTTTTTTTCCTACACCTTCCAGTTTTTACAGTGAGCATATATAACCCATTGTGTATGCTTCGGATAAAATCAAGAATTGCAAACGAATATTAACATGAAAGAACAGGTAGTCAGAGCAGAACTCATCTACACACGCGCACACCCCTCGCACGAGGGGCTTCCGCTGCGTTTGTGCTGTGCGTACCCTCTCTCTGGCGTATCTTGGGACATTGAGGAAGTTTATAGTTTTATTTTCTATTAATACCTTTATATATTAGCCTTAGTCCCTTCGGTTGTTCTCTTCCTGAGGGTTATACTGAACTTAGCAAGTCCCCTCTTGCCCCCGCTGCTTCCCAGCCTTCTCGCTTGCCGCAAGCGCGTGATCAGGGAGATCACTTCACCCCCCGCATGCTCCCCCCGCACTTGGAGTCCTGCTCTATCTTCATCATCAGACCATGTAACGACTCGTGCTGTCCTGTCACCGCCACCTCCCCGTCACGGCCGTTGTTGGGGCGGTGGGTGGTTTTGAAGCTCACGGGGAAGCCCCTGCCGCCTTTTCTCGGCCCTGTGAGGCTTGTCTCCAGCGGGTTCCTCAGGAAGGGCTCCTGGGGGCAAGAAGCCTGAGCGTCTGCACGTTCAAAGTCTTTCATCAGTGGCTTTCCTCTGACGGCTGGTTTGGCCAGAGACAAGTCTTTGATCAGTATCTTGTCACGAGTTTCTTAAATAAGTCACTCCACTGTCTTCCGGTCAGAAGTATTTCTGGCAAAGTCCAATGTTAATCTGATTTCCTTTGAAAGAGAAATTTTTAAAATACCTTTTAAGCTTTTGGGATATAACGTTAAAATTTTTTGAGCACTTTGTTAAATTTTGTTAAATGTTTCTAACACAATTATGATACATTACCTTTTTAAGGTAAACACCTGTATCCTACAACTTTTGTTGCATGTTATTAGAAAATACCTAATTTTAAAAATATTAAGATAGTTTCAAAAATTTTATGATTTTTGCTTAGAGTTACACATAATTTAAAATTTACAAAATAAATATATTTATTTTAAAATATTAAGTACTATGCAAATGTTTATAAAGGTAAATTATAAGATAAAAACATTTAAATTCTCTTACTAGGACTTCTAACTCATGAAGTATGCATTTTGTCTAATAAATTATCAGAATTACTTATCTAATACAGAATAATAAATGAGAGAAATTGGATTAATGAGAGGGAAAATCATAAAATACTACTTACTTTATATTTTGTAGAATTAAAATGTACCAGTGTTTTTAATGCCGTTGAAACTAGGTTTCTCTATGTAAACATATTAGGGAAAGTGTACATTATTTGACTCAATAATATAGAATTGTTTTGTGAGGGCAAAGCATTGGTGGTAGTAAGGAAGTCAATTGCAGTTTAGAAATTTCAAGGCCAAGGTTGTTTAAAACTGTGGCCTCAAGTTATTGAGAGGTGTGTAGGATTGCAGTGTACAGGCCTTTGTTATTTAAGAATTTGTGGAGTTTTCTTATGTTACTAAAGAAAGTGCCAAAATGCTGTTGTTATTCTTGTAAACATTGGTCATTGTGTGTGCATGTGTGTAGGGGGAGGGGGGAGGGATCATGGCTGGGATATTTAGTCCCCCACAAGATGTGCAGGGAAAGCTCAAGCCCTTTGCAGTTCTGCTGGCCATTGCTGAGTAGTAAGTTGGGCCTCTAGTTAGGAAAGTAGTTGCCAAAAGGCGAGCAGTAGTCACTTTTTACACTAACACGTCTTTGGAGACTGTATTTGTTACTGTTTTCAACTAGCCGTTCTGGGAAATTTGATCCTAGAGAGGAAGTGCATCTTCACTTTTCTGATGGGAGTCTGGTTAGATTGGACCTAGCCGAGTGAACACTCGTGCTTCAGTTCACTTGGTTTGTAATTTGAAGTGAAATTTTGTCTGTTCAAAATAACACTGTTCTCTAACAAAACATCTCTGTGAATTTCAGACTCCACTGAGGTACACAAAGACATTGTTGCTTCCAGTCGTTCTCGTTGTGTTTATTGCAATTGTCAGAAAGGTATGTCTGTCACTTAAGAGCGCTTTCCTGTAATAAAATGTTTTCCTGTTACTACATAGGAGATAGTGTACTAGCCCACATGTTAATCCAACACAACGTTGTGTATGAATTTATGGAAACCTGGTCTGTACTTTTGTACTAATAACCTTTGACGAACACTTACAAGCCTTAAAAATATTCTCCTGGCTGCCGGCTTAACACAGACACGGGGAAAGAGGGGGCTCAAGTGTTGATAGTCATGTGTTTAAAAGACGAGATCAAAGAGACCCCATTGACCCAGATATGGCTGTTTTTGCCTCTGTAAATTATTACTGACTTGCTTTTAACTTTTATGTAATATTCCCATAAAATATTAAATATATGCCCTTTTAAGTCATACATGCAGTGTTCACTACTCCTGGATCGAATTTATTATTAATCCAAAGGAGGAAATAGAATATTAACCATGTATTATTACGCTCAATAAAGCGGTCAGACTGCCAGTGTGACTTTGACAATGAAACCCTGAGCCCAGATAGAAACCGAGGCAGGGAGGTCGCCATCTTCAGCAAAGAGCAGGCATGATGGCCTCTCCTTTTTCTTTTAAGAATTGGTGAGCTTAACTGTAGGTGTTTTAAGAGAATGAATTCAGATTAATCTGTAATAGAAATACAGATAGCAGACCCTGAAAGTTTTCTGATTTGTAGCTAGTGATTTCTGTTTTAACACGATGTCGTATATTTGTAGAATACTCACTGCTGTAATTGTCATTCACATTATATATTTGTGCTTCCCCAGAGCATTTCACATGCATTATTTCAGTTGGTATTCGACCGCGCTGTGAGGTGCAGACGTTATTATCCCCGTTTTGACAGATGCAGAATGGGAAGATCAGAGAGGTTGTTAGCAGCCTCATGGCACGTCCCCTGACAAGCAGGGGCAGCGAGCGGCAGGTTGCACACCCGCCCTCGTCCCTGGGCGTCGAGCAGCTTCTGCTGTGGAGCCTCGCGGCCCTGTCACATCCCCTTGGGTTGGGCTCGTCACTTTCTGCTGCCTGCCAGGCTCTCAGCTTCCTTTGGGCTTTTGCATACTTTATGTGGGTCTGCACCCAGAAAGAAGGAAAAAAATACTAGATGTTGGCAATCCAGATGCATTAAAAAGACAGCCATCTGGGAGGCTCGATGATGAAAATTATTAGGTTGGGTTAAAGAAGTAGGATGTCTGACTTAACAAGAAAGATTTGAATGGCAAGAGGGTAACTATTTTCACACATGTAAAAGCCTGCCTCTTGGAAATGAGATTACCTTCATTTTGGCTCTTTAGAATTATGACCCGTTCCAGGTGGTATAGGACCTTTGACCAGGATCAATCTGGACTGACCAGGAAGGTGTCATAGATACAGGCGATGGCTGGGTGCCTGAGCTGGATGAACACCTGTCGTCAGTGTCGTGGGGGACTGGGGAGGGGCTTTCAGATCCGATGGCCTCCCAGTCACTGCTGAGTAGGAAGACACAGTGGTCAGTTGGCTGTGCTTCTCAGTCTGTGAGCCGGCTCTCCAGCCCTGAGAGTCCGGAATTAAGGGGAGGCCTTGCTTACATCTTGGAGGGTGGAAGTCACTGACTGTGAATTGGACGCCTAAGGTCAGGCTTGAAGACCCAGCACTGCCCCGCCACCTTCCTGGAGGTTACTTACTCCATCTGAGCCTGTCACTCATTTACAAAGCAAGGACAGTAGAACGTGCATATACAGCGTTGTTGGGCATTGGGTATGCTCAAGTTCTGTACGATGTGAGATTATGTTGTTGTAATTATTACTCTCTGAGCTATCTCTTATCTCCATACTTTTAGTTAAGTAAAAGTTTGAATGTTTAGAAGTCACTTTAATTAAAATTTTGCTTTTCCCCAAACAGCTATTCTAAAAGGTTTAAAAAAATCTATTTGCAGATTATTAGTGACATGTGGGGTGTCTTAACTAAACAACAGACACATATAAGGTAAGTAGGCTATTAATCATTTTGCTACTTCCTGCATCTGTGGTAAAGTACACATTTGGAGTACGTTCACTGCACAGTTAGGCGCCATATACTCGGCATTCTCTAATCCGTGTTTTTGATTGTTGTCCCCTTCTTTGCTTTCCTCGTTTCTTCCCTGTGCAGAGCTCAGCACATCACTCAGGCACACCTCAGGCCCCGTCCGGTCCCTTTGGACGGCACCCCGCACGTAGCCTGTCCCTGCAGGGCACAGCGTCGGGCTTCCCTTTGGCAGGGAGAAGAGAGCGTTCAACTCATGGTCTCGGGACTCCCGGGCTGCCCGTTAAGGGAAGAGCAGGGCGGTAGAGCTGCACCCACACCTCTCACTTTTCATGCAAAATGGAGTCCAGATGGTGCAAAGGTTTAAATGAGTCCTCAGAATGAAACCCCAAAGCAAAAAAAAATGAAACCTCAGAATTTACCAAGAGATTATTTTTATAATTTCAGGATTAGGCCTTGTTAAGTAAGACATAAAAACCTGTTAGCTAGAAGAGAAGGTGACAGGGTTGACCAGATAACATCCTTTGGTTTGGTAAGTCACTATAAATGTTGTTCAGAGAAAACTACAAATGGGGAAAGTATTTGTATTATATGACAAAGGGCTAATGACCATCATATATAAAGAATTTCTATTAATAAGAAAAATACTAAAAACCCTTTAGGAAAACAAGTGTGGGACACAAAAGGTCATTGAGAGAAGTCAATTCTCCTATCCTTCTCCCCCTGTGCTCCTGCCTGTGGGCCTCCTTCGCGCTCTTGAACTGCACATGGCAAGGCGCTGCCTGCCTCTGCGGGTCCGCAGGGGTTGGCCTAGCCCAGGACCGCGCCTGTCCCCGCAGCCTGGCTCTGGGCACAGCCAGCCCCTTTAGTCCTTGTCTGAATGTCACCTCCATCAGGAAGCCTTCCCTGACTGTCACCTCTGGGCAAATTCCTTGTCTCTTTGGAGTGCAGGCCTTCTGCATGAGCATATTTCCATCGTGCACCATTGATTCCCGACATTTCGTTGAGTGCACTTTGTTAAAATAGGAAGATTGGGTGTGTTTACTTGTGCATAGAGAGGAACTAGAAGGATGAAACCTGTAAACACGAAGGGCATGGATTTGGAGGGCGGAGGAAAGGAAGTTTTAATTCTACTTCCAGGCTTTCGTCAGACTTTGTGGGGGTAGAGAATGGTCAGTATGTGTGTCTGTATTATATTCTTTTATAACGAATACACACAGCCTTACGTATTGTTCTCTCACCTGCAAGTATCTACCATCCAGTGATGAATTGTTGCATGTACCCCAGACACAGTCCTTGTTGTCATTTAGAAACAGTGGGCTGTAGCTGTGCCCGTGTTTGCATGTGAGGCCTTTCGGGGCCAGGGGAAAAGGACGAGACTTCGGGCACACAATGCCGAGCTGTCCCGTCACTGGAGACGGACCTGTTCCTGAAGAGCTGGGAAGGCCTGCGCAGGTTGCCAAGTTGCACGGGGTTTCCACTGTGGCCCGCGGCTCAGCGGGAGGAAGGTGGGCCTGTTCACAGAAGCAAAGCCCACCTTCAGCAGTGACTCGGCCGTGGAAGTAGTCGCAGAGCTCCATGGAGCTGAACGAGGGCTGCACTTCAAGGGGGGCCCAAGCCTTCTTGACCGGAGGCTGGAACGTGGACATTTCATTTTGCCTGAGTGCTGAAGTCACATGCTGTATAAAAAGGGAAGGGGTGGGAGAGACCATTCGGTGACCAGGTGTGAGATCCAGGATCCTCTTTGTTTGCTTGTCCTCCCATTTGATGTCCCTCTGTGCTGTGTATGTGTGGGGGTAGGGGGAGGCTCTCTCCCTCTTGTTCCTGCTGTGTGTCGTGTCGTCAGTGTACAGTGAGACCGAGTTGGGGGTGGATATGCACCCTGGATTCCCAAAGGGTTCCTCTTAGTTGGCAGAGACAGATGATGATCAAGTGAAGCAACGAAAGTGTTGTCTGTGAGGAGGGAAGACAGGGCGATAAAGGAAGAAGGGATTGAGGAGGGGCGCTGACTGCGGGAGTCCAGGCGCCTCCCTGAGGCTGGAAGGAGCGGAGTCAGCCTCGGGTGATGGGAGCTCAGAGCTCAAGGGGGAACGAGGCTGCACAGGCATTTCAAGGATGAGAAGTGGGGACCAGCTTGGGAAGATATGTGTGGCACATGAAGGGTGGGAGAGTTTGTTCGAATTACAGAAGAACCCATTGGAGGGTTTCAGTAAGGGCTCCTCGTTCCCAAAGATTGCTCTGCTGTGATGGGAACCTGCAGGGCAGGGCACGGAGTGAGGGGGAAGGGCGGGGGGCCTCCGAGCACGCGCCCTCTGTCGGGACACTCAAGCTGCCCAGCAAAGCTGAAGGAGGGACCTTGAGGCTATTTGTGTGTTCCAGAGGTGCTGCTGGAAAAAATCTCAGATGTGGCATCCCGTTCCTGAGGGGACTGAGAGGCCGCTGGGGGCAGGCACTGGGAGGGCCCCAGAGTTCCTCTTCGTCCTGCTCTGTCGGGAGGCCACCTGCGAGGGGGCTGACGCCGCAGTGCGCAGTCAGATCTACAGGATGTGCAGCATCGTCGTTTCCCCCCAGTAAATTGTCTTAAATGATTGCAGCACCAGCTTTGGTTTATAACTTTTATAGTTATTTTGATTTACATACATGTGCCCCGAGGGAATCTTACAGAAGTTATAAAACCTCGTATTTATAAGATAAAAAATGCAAATAATTGAAGTGCCTCCACAGTGATTTAATAGTACTTCTTTTTCCATTTCAGAAAACACCAGTTTGATCACGGAGAGGTAAAGAATTAATGTTACTAAAATGTACCTCATTTTCGTGTATGTGTGGGCTTTTCTTTCTAGTTCTGGCTTCTGTGTGTGTTGGTAAACGTCACTAACCAACCGTCTTTCAGATCGGCCTGTGTACACTCTGAGGAGAACACTGCAAACACCCCGCCCATTTGTTAAGTAGGAAATCCCTCTGGTCCTCCTGGGTCGCCCTCGCAGCCCTGGCAGGCTATTGGGGAGCCCAGGCAGAGGCCAGGGACTGTCTTTTGCATGGCTGGAGGTGCTTCCTCTCTGCTCTCCCTGCCTGGAGCTCGGAGATGTGAGCTCCTCCCATCTCCTGGGGCTTCAGCCTGGTGTGTTTGTTTTTTTCCCCTCTCTCTTTCTCTTTTTTAAAAAAATTGAGTATGATAGATATATCACATTATATTACAGTTTCATGCATACAAAACAATGATTCGGATGTGTGTGCACTGCAAAATGATCGCCACAATAAGTCTAGTTAACATCCGTCACCATACTTAGTTATGAAAGTTACTGTTTTTCCTTCTGATCAGGCCTTTTAAATTCTACTCTTAGCAAAAGCATGGTGACTGTAGGTAACAATACTGTGCGGCCTATTTCAGCCAGGTTTTAATGGTGGTTCCAAGGCAGAACTCAGGTCTGGGACAGCAGTCACTTGTGGTTCCGGTGTTCCTGCCATGGCCAGATGGGAGTGCCCAGGGGGTGCAGAAATGGGGGCTTCCCGACTGCAGGTGCAGCCCCAAGCGGAGCCATGGACCCTCTTGCCGCAGTGGTTGTATAATGTTAGCCCTCCACTAAAATGGCGAAGTTGGAAAGTGGATATCAAAACTTATTTATTTCAGAAATTAAAGTTACTAAGGAAAAAGTGCCCTATTCTGTATACCCACCATTTTAACGATATAGCCTTGAACTTTACAAGCAGTAGGAGTAAAAACAGTCTCCCTTTGCTTTCAGCTGGTCTATCACGCGTTGCAGCTGGTGGCATACACAGTGCTGGGCGTTCTGATCATGAGGCTGAAGCTCTTCCTGACGCCGCACATGTGCGTCATGGCTTCTCTGGTCTGCTCGAGGCAGGTGAGGCAGCGCTTACGCGGGTGCTGTGTCTGCTGCGATCATTCTGCAGCCTTTGTTACCGAGACCTCAGGAACAGTGTCGAATTCCCCAGAGCCCTTTACATGATTATCATTAAAGTCCTTCCTGGGCCTGTACTAATTACTCCTAAACGATGTTTGAAAAAAACCCACAGAAATTCCTAAGAGCTGATCATTTTCTATTCTTCGAACTTCTAAAATAGCCCCTGCCAAACAACAAACAGCCAGTGCTGTGAATTCATGAATGATTACTGCAGATGTTGATAGAAAGCAGAGCCTAATTGTAGAAATAATTTTTTGTTTTGACATTCATATCACAAAGCATTATAACAGTTGAGTTCGAGTTAGGGGTGCTTTCAAATTACATGGTCTTTCAGTGTAAAGCTTTCTTTTTTTTCACTGAGTATACGCGGGCATACAAATGTGTACTCAGTTTCAGGGTTTTACTCTTTCAAAGTGAGCTGAAGCTGTGCTGGCTGGTCGCTGCTCGCTCTCCCCAGATACCTGCGTCCCAGCTCTGCGTTCACAGCTAGGGTTTCCATGGCCTCACCTTTTCATCAGCCACGGATGCAAGCAGGATTAGCAACATTTACTGAGCTTCTGAACCAACCATTCTCTGGGGATGAGGGTAGAGTGGTAGGTGGAAAAGTCCAAAAGCAAAAGTTTTTGTATGTCTTCAGGATTAATCTTTAGGAGAGAACAATAGAGACCAAGTATTACTATTGAGAGTGGACTATTCAAATATGGTAAAGACCGGCCAGCCTCAAGGTTTCCTGGCAGCTGGTTGGCAAGTTAGGGAGGCCGGCAGAGGGCGAGGCCGCTGTTCCTGGCTCCTCCAGGGCTGGAAAGGAACGGAGGCTGGATGGAAGCTTGTCCCTTCCGTGCCACCAGCGGTGTGACCTATGACCACAGATGTCCGGGCTGGCCTCGTGGTGCTGGGAGGTCAGCGTGCACGGAGCCCACATTGAGAAGGACCCTGCACCTCACTTCCTGCTCTGTTGCTGCCATTTTGATCTTTTTAATAATCTTCAAACAAGGCGCCTGGCATTTTCGTTTTGCAGTGGGCCTGGCCTTGCCTGGCTCTGGGAATAGAGCAAGTTGAGCGAAGATTGATTTTAACACTGTAAATCACAGCCCACTTGTGTAAGGTGGTAGAATTCTTTTGATTCCGAGGGCCACTGCTTCTAGAACTTTTCCATGGGGCCGTTAATGCTTTACCTGGGACTAGCAGGGACTGAGTTGCCCGCTGGGAGGAACTTTTGCTTGTTGGGTACGTAATGCTTTCTTCTAACAATCACCAATGTGTTTCTGACTTGGTTTCAGCTGTTCGGATGGCTCTTTTGCAAAGTACATCCTGGCGCTGTTGTTTTTGCTCTGTTAGCAGCCATGTCAATACAAGGTTCGGCAAATCTGCAAACCCAGTGGAACATTGTAGGGGAATTCAGCAATTTGCCACAGGAAGAACTTATAGAGTGGATCAAATATAGTACTAAACCAGGTAAAAAAAAAAAAGTATTATTTGGGTAGTGTTTTCCCAAGTTTTATACACCATTGGTAACTCCTAAACCAGAGTGACTGCCAATAGTCTTACTCTTTCTAATCAATACCGCTTGTAGATTATCCAGAGAGAGAGAGAGACAGACAGGGGGAGAGAGAGAAATGTCAGTCTTAAGTGGTTTACGAAGGAAATGCTATGCATAGTTTCTCAGTAATTAATTTTTCTATTTTCCATAAATTCTAATTTTTTCAAAGTTTTACATGCCACAGTTCAAAATAATTTTTATGCTTATTTTCTCAATGAATTTTTAATCTTGGTCCTTCACATTCCATCTTGAAATGAACTCATGGAATCTTTATTCATGTTTAAAAAAGGATATGCTGTCATTTGAGTATCAAGTGACTGAATGTTAAATCATCTTCGGGATTTTTTGGTGTTATAAAAATTTCTTAGTTGACACTTCTTTCCTAGAATCAGGGAAGATATACAAGATGTTAGAACGAACATCCCCCCCCCCCCCACACACACACACACAACCTTACCAGTGGCGAGATGAGACACACACATTCACTCACTCCCCAGTGGCGCGATGAGACTGCCTTCCGAGGCACGTCGCTCACCCAGGCTGGGCTGTGACGGGCGCTGGGCTGCTGGCCTGGGACTTCGCTCGGTCCTCGCTGAGACTTGCTTCCCGCTTCTTCGTAGACGCGGTGTTCGCGGGGGCCATGCCCACGATGGCGAGTGTCAAACTCTCCGCACTGCGGCCCGTTGTGAATCACCCGCATTATGAAGATGCAGGTTTGAGGTTAGTACCCAGTTCCCAACTTGTTGAAAAATCGCTCGTACAAATAGTGTGGAGACCAGTGAAATACCCAGAAGGATCTTGAAAGGGCCGCGCTGGGGGCGGAGCGCCGAGACGCGGGGCTGGGAAGCCCCGAGGCTGCAGGCTCCTGGCCGTCACCCCGCGGGGCGCCCCCGAGCATTCATGAGGCCGGAGTTTCTATGCAGGTTTTCTCATGGGCCATTTTTCTTGAATTCTCGAGTCAGTGGAAATGGAATCCTATTCAAAGGGGGTTTTATTCTGGTTTTCACCAGTATAGCCTGTTAGAATGATCTTGTTTTTTTTACTATTTTTTTCATAAACACATTCTCTTTGAAAGGAAATAGATTTCGTTTTTGTGTAATTTCTCAGGTAGGTCAAGGTATTAATTTCCTGAGGGGTGAATCCTATTACTATGTTCTTTTGTCTAACAGGAATAATATTTTAGAAATAGTTTTTCATTAAAAAATTCAGGTCTGGCAAGCTGACTTCCAGAGCAGTTACTTTGCACACACTTCGCGCTTAAAACGCCTGGGAATGAAGCGGAGCGCGGGTGGCTGCCGGCGGGGTGAGCTGGGCCCGGCCGCCCGCGGGGAGCCCCGTGTTGTGCTCGCGCGGCAGTGACCGCTCGCAGGGCGCCTTGCTCTTCTGTGTGACGGAGCGCTCGATAAAGAATTTAGAGCGCAAACAGGCAGAAAGCCTCAGTGTAGAAGCCCCTCCTCCGAGGCCTCAGAGGCCACGTCTGCCCTCCGCTCTGCCCGCCCCCCCCCGCCCCCCGCCGCCAGCCGAGGACGCCCCGGGGACTCGGGAGGTGCCTCCCGCCCAGAGTGTTTGGCGTGCTCTTCCTCCTGGTCCCGTTCCGTGCTTTCTTCCGAAGAGACGGATTGCGTGCTCTTAACCTCGGCGATCTTCTCCCCAATCATTTCCCTTTGAAGAGCCAGAACGAAAATCGTGTACTCGATGTACAGCCGGAAAGCAGCCGAAGAGGTGAAGCGAGAGCTGGTGAAGTTGCAGGTGAATTACTACATCCTGGAAGAGTCGTGGTGCGTGCGCAGGTCCAAGTGAGTACTTGCCGGGGGCGGGGAGGGGGGGGCGGCGGCGTTCGTCTCCCAGCGGCGCGCCCGGAAGTTGAACGGTGAGACGGAGGTCACGTTTAGCAAGTGTAGTGGGAAAAAATGTAAGGTGATCATTTGAATTGGAGTTTTTTTTTTCTTTTGTAGTCATTATAAGGAAACATCTGTTTCCTTTATAATGATTTGCACGTGTAGACTTTCTTAAAGGTATGTAGGCACTGATTGTTAATTTCCCGAATCACTCATGTTCGCCTAGGATGTTTTTTTAAACCTTTTTACTTCAAGTTGAATGTATTTTCTTTCAAAAGATGTGCAGAGTCTGAGACCAAAAAATGGAGACCCTTGTGGGAACAGCGGAAGCGGGGCGCGGGGGCCAGGTCGCCTCCATCCCCACCCAGCCCTGCCCCGCGCCGTGTCCGGTGCTGGACGGGCCCCTCCCGGCGCCCACTGGACTGAAGCTTCTCTCTTGCTCTGTCACATCCTGAGTGCAAAAATAATTAACTTTTCTCAGACCCATGTGCTCTTGGGTTTATAGTTTTCAAAATACCCCTTTTCACAGAGGGGTTCACTAGGCAGAGTGTAGCAGCAAGAGCGGGTAAGCTCTTCAAAGCTGATGTGAGCCCCGCAGTCGCCTGCTGAGTGGCGCCTGGGCGCGCGCTGGGGGGAGCACGGCCGTGCGCCGTCTCCTCTGAAGTCAGGGGCATTTTGCGGCGCGCTATTATTTTATTAGTTCTTACTGCTTGTTAAAAAGACGCCTTCAGGAGATTGCCGTATCTATGGCTTAATCATACTTAATTCACCGTGTATTTCAATCATACACAAGGGTGTCGAGACAAAATAATTAAATGTTCACTCAGGAGTAAAAATAGTTCTGTGGCAGTGCCTGCCAGCCTCGCTCACAGGGAGACGGAGACGGTTGTGGATTGTTGAGTGGTTTTCTGTGAGTGTCGCAACTGACTTGAATTGGGTCTATAGAAAATATTACTGTTCTTAGAGTCACAATTTAGAAAATGCTCTAAGTCCTTTTGAACATAAGACTGTATATGAAATTCATACAGTCACCTTTAATTAACTTTAATTTAGGACAAAAATAGCCATAAGCTTCTCCCACAGTAATTCCGTGAGGCCGCTGAACGGTGGGCTGCCGCCTGCGTGAGGAACACTCGCTGGCCACCCGCAGTGGGGCCCTGCCAGCCCGAGGCCCCTGTCAGTTACAGAGCGGAGACGGTCACATTTCATGACTTCCCCCCAAGCTAATGACAAGCCTTGGTTCAAGCTGCTTCATCCCTTGTGTCCTGGACCCTTGCATAGTGTCGAGTCTGTGGGAGTTGCAGCGGCTGGGGCGCTTTATGTCCTGAGGTGTTGAGGGAGCTCCCAGGATTTGTGTCAACTAGTAGTTTCCTGTTCCGGTGGCAGAGCACTGCTTTCTGCACCCCGGAGGGGGGGCGGCAAGACCACCTCAGGGGGTGCGGCTGCACATCCGCACTGTAACCAAAGTCAGCAGTGAGCGAACTGGCCTCAGAGCGTCCCCGCTGAGAGCCCCTGCCGGCCCTCAGTCTGAGAGCTTGGGGGCGGGGGTGGGGGGCGGTGCTGGATTCCCCACCAGGACCTGGATCTGCCCTGGTCCATTTGTTCCAGCAGAAGTGGAGAGGGAGGGAGCGAAGGAAGGGACTTTCTCTAATCTGTTACCCCCACTCAGTCACGTAAACAGCACTCCATTTACTGCGAGATTGAAGCCCTACTACTGGTACATCTTAGGAATCCTCAGACAGGTGGACTCTGCTTAGCCCTTGAAACAAAACACACGCTGTGCTTCCTGTTCTGACAGGGAAGCCAGTGGGGACCTCAGAGAGTGGGACAGGGATGGAAGGCTAATACTTGGTGCCGGCAGCTGCGGTGGGGGGAGCTGAGCCTCTGGCAGACCCTCCACCCACTGGCCACAGTTCAGTTGCGCCAGCCCGAGACGCCTGTGTGCCTCTGAGACAGAAGAAGATGTCAGCACTGGGGGCAAATGGGGAGCTCACACAGGAGAGGAAAGGGAAGAGGGAGTAATGTCGATCCAGGGTTGAACCGTGTGGGCACTTTCGTGAGCCCTAGATCATGTGATCTCATTTACAAGTGGCTTGATTGTGTGGCTTGATTATTCCTTAAATACTTGACACCCTGTGTTCAAATACACATACGAAAATATACTCAAATGCAGGTTGTGCATGAGCTTTGAATGAACTATTCTTTCATTCTCAGTTCTCTGCTTTCATCCTCATTAATCCCAAGAATGGAGTTGACATGAAATTAAAGCAAATGGATTCAGAAGAGATTATGCAGGTTTTGGTTAATGCTGTTTGAAGATGTAGCTGGCCAGCCGGGGGAGACTTCGGGAACTCAGAGCAGGGCTCAGGGGCATTGCGATTAGGCGGGCAGGGTGGTTGAGCCCTGGAGCTGAGGGTTTGCTGCTTCCTGTATGTTTCACACTCTTCTGCCAGTGGCCAACAGAGCGGTAACAGCGTGGCCTTGGAATGGGGGAGAAAATTAGAAGGTAGACAGCCCAGGCTCAGTTATAGCGTTGCGTGTGCTCAGTGCTGGCAGAGTGCCGGTGTCAGCCAGGGTGTGCAAAAAGCATGTGCTGAAACTCCTCATGGGAACAGTCTTTGGGAAAACCTTTTGTAAGACAATTTGATGGAGGCAGCGTGAAAATTGTGTAGCCCTCCGTCATAGCGATAGTTCTGCTTCTAGAAGCTAAGCTTGCAGAAGTGTCTCTGTAAGCATTGCTTTATTATGGTAAAGTGGGAAACAATTATAGTATCTGTCCATAAAAGAGTGGGTAAATATTGTGATACAATATATAGGAGTACTAGCAACAACTAAAAAGGCAGGTCTTTTTGTAATGAGATGGAAAATGGCCACATGTCATTGGCTGCCAGGAGTCCCAGGATAATCTCATTTTTGTAAGAGCGACTGGGAGCCTTTGTGTGTATGTAAATGTCCGTCCCTGTGTCTGTGAGTGCTGTGTGCCCGAACGCAGATGGAAAAGGTCTGGCAGACACCTTCTGGGCCCTTAACAGAAGTCCCCTGGGAATGGTGCTGCGGGTGACAGTGCGGCTCATGGTTTCCTTTTGATAGGTCTGCTTTGACACCTTTTGGGTAATTACCTTTCCATTAAAGATGGTGTCCTAGTGCCGCCTCCTGGTGGAGGGCGGGGCAGTGGGATTGCCACTGGGAGCAGAGGGACTTGCTGGGAGTGGCCTTTTCTCATTAAAAAAGTGAAGCAATTATGGCAAAATGTAAGCAGTTGTCAATGGTCTATAATTTTTCCTTGTGTTTTTCTGTTTTTTAAATAATTTCTCAAAAAGGAAATAAGAAATTGTGAGCTTCCATTCACTTTTTCTGTTTTTACTGACATTTGGAAGAGCCCAGGCCAGTTGTCCTATAGGAACGTCCCACCTCCAGGCTCGCCTAACTCATTGCCCATGGTTACGTTCAGTGTGGCAAGCTTTGGCAGGAAGATGTTGTGACTTTTCATTACGTCACTTAGGAGGTACACATCACCCTGTTCTGTCATTGGTGCTCCTAAGCTTGATCACTTGATTGAAGTATTGAATATGTCCCCCACGCTCTCCAGTTTAAGGGGAGAGGTTTCCGTTACAATTAATAAGAAATCTGTATGGTGAAACTTGGACCCTTTGTTTACTGTCTTTCTCAACAACCTTTCACCAGATAATTTTTGGCTCCAGTTTTTATTCTTGCCTGAATCAATATTACATTAATGATTATAAATAATTAGGCAATATGGACTTGAAAGTAATGTGTCACTTACTGATTAGTGGGTGTAAGGATGGATTTGATAAATAATAATTCGACCAAGAGCTTCTAGGCTATCTACAGTATATGGAGAAAATTAATGTTAAACCTTTACCTTACAGCATTAAAAAAAATTTAACTCCAGATGAGGAATAGGTATAAATGTGAGAGGCAAAATTCTGAAACTTTCACAGGAGAATATATAATGCATATTTTCATGATATTGTGATAGGGAAGAATTCTTTAAAGAAGACATAAAAATTGTAAGCCGTAGAAGAAAAGACTGACATTTTGAAGTATAATAACATGCAAATCTTTGATCTAAAAAAGCGAAAAAAAAGAAAGGGAGATTGTGAACTCTAGCAAAAGCCAACAGTTTTAGATTTGAAATAAATGTTACAGTTATCTTCAAGAACTTACTGGAGTAAATATTGCATAATACCAATTTTATCTCTACTATTCTTTTAAAAATATATTGCTTTCAAGATTTTCTTATGTGTGTAACTAAGATGGGAGCTTAACACTACTGGATTTTCTTGAAGCTGACTCATTCTCGAATACAGTTAATGGAAGTTGCATCAATAGGAACTAAGTATATTTGCCAATTATAATTTTTAAAATTAATGTAATTGGTCACCTCTTACTGTGTGCTGGTCATGATGCTGGATACAGTCTTTCCCCCTAACCCTTGTAACACTACTGTGTCATGGGATTTCCCTGCTTCACAGCTGTGGGGAAGGAGGCTGAGTGAACTGCGCACACTTGCGTTTTGGTAAGTAGCTGAGGCAGAACTTAACCTCATCACCTGCATTCACGTAGTTTGCAGGTCTTCTTTCTTTAGAATTACCTTTGCTGTGCTTGCCCGTTCTAAGGAGGACCTAGTGGCAGCTTACACAAACATAAATAACTATAATAAGATTTTTTAAAAAAACTTAAGTAGAAGAAAATGACGGGAGGGCGAGAACGTGAAGCGCGTGCTCTGCTTTAGCTGCTGGCGTGTGCCATGCTTGCTCTCTGACGCGCGTGACTCTCTCCAGGCCTGGCTGCAGCATGCCTGAGATCTGGGACGTGGAAGACCCCGCGAACGCCGGGAAGCCTCCGTTATGCAACCTCTTGGTGAAGGAGTCCGAGCCCCACTTCACCACTGTATTCCAGAACAGTGTTTACAAAGTCTTAGAAGTTATAGAAGAATGACTGCTGCCCACAGAGAAGACATCAGCAATGGTTTTAACATTTTGCTAATAACTCATGCCTTGTTTTTAATTCAAATCCCAAAAACTTTTATAGGTGACTGTTTTGAAATAGACAATGTTTTACTTGGTCAATTTGAATGTCATTCTGATTGTAAAAATATGTATACCATTATCAATTGGGTACTATTTCAGTGCACCCCTTAAAATTTGCTATGCAAATGAGTATATGCTTGTATCTGACTTAAGTATCTGTGCTAAAATGAGCAAAGCTATCTGCATACCAAACGTGATGGGTCATGAAAGGATGATATGAAAATATAGTCAGTTCTAAACTCTGTAGGGGCTGATTTACAGTTTATGGACTATTAATGCCCCTTGCTTTTGTCCATGCCTCTTGCTCTTGTCTTTGGGACATTCTACTGATTATTGTGAGCTCCTCAGTCACGTTGGTCCCTGTCCTTAAGAGTAGATGGGGCTGACATGGGTATTTGCTATGTGGAATTACTCTGTTTATTTCCCTTTGTGTTTTTTTGTTCTCTGTTGTTCTTGTTAATGACAAGAACATGCCCGTTATCCATACAAACTCTTGGACCTAGTGGTCAGGGCCACATTCCTGTGCCAACGGTGTGGTATTAGCGTGACTCCTCTCTCCCCCCACCCCTGCCCCCCTTCTTTCTCTCCTCCCTCTCTCTCCCTCTTTACCCGCTCTCTCCCTTCCTCCCTCTCCTCCCCCCCTCTCCCAACATTCTTTGTCAAATAAGTGGTATTTACTCATTTAGTTTCTTGTATCAAGTACTTTTTCTTGGTTAAAAAAATTAATGGCAATTGTGTATTTTCTCATTTTTAGTGTTATTCAGATGTGTATATTTTAATATCTTTAAACCACTTTTCAAACTTTTCATGTTTAATTATAGTTTTAAGAAAACTATTTTGAACAACCTCAAATGCAGTGCATCCAGAAACTAACGTATATTTCTGTAGACACAATGTACTGTGGAACAATAGACTGTAGTATGTGGTAATTTTTCTTTTATTATTAAGATACAATAAAACATAACTAATTTTTGTGGCAAAAAGTACGTGAATAATGATAAGTGAATGGAGTTTTTATATTTTACTTTTTAAATTGCCTGTCTTTAACAAGACAAAGCCTTAAGCCTTAGAATTTTGGTTCTGAAAACCATTGCAGTATGAGGAGGAATATATTAAGCCTTCCTCTTTATTCTTTTCCTCCTATTTATTTTTATTTTGAAAAATTTTCAAACCTGCTTTGAATTCCTAGCATGAATTTTCGTTTTTTAGAAGTTAATTTGTGTGAAATGAGATTTTTCAAAACAGCGAATCCTTTATATCTCTGAGAAATGGTTTTGGGATTTTAAATTCCAAGCAAACGCTGCCTCAGGTGGACCGCCGTTTAATGACACAGTGACAGCGTTCTCCTGGTTCACCCCAGGCAGAGTCACCTCTCAGTGGACATCCCTGAGACCTGAGTCCTCGGGGTGGTTTCCAGCCCCACCCAGAGCTGCCCAGAGCTGCCCAGTGGCCATGACTTTCTGCCCCTGCATCAGGGTCCGGGATGCCCTGGGGGCAGCTCCAGCTCCAAGCAGGCAGTGGGGTGCAGGCCCTGCCTGCCCTGGGGCGCCTCCCCGCAGCCCCTAGGTCCTCCCAGGGTCTTCAGGTGCCGCCCTGCCTCCTCCCTTGCTGGGTGACTTATTTCTTGGGCTTTTGCCACTTTAAGAAAACAGGGAAGTAGCCTGGGAGCTGTGGATTAGGGGAGGAATTTGAGCACTGATGCAACAATGCAAAAAAATGGGAAGAAGGCACTCACAGCCCCTGAGGATGGTCGTAGGGCGGAGGAGGGGAGCAGCTGGGCTCTGTCTGCAGCTGTTCGCACCAGACACGGCTGCGGTGTCTTCAGCAGTTAGTTTTTTTTTAATGGTACTCTTGAAGTTATTCTCTGTTCTTCCCACCCTCCAATAATTTCCTTCCTAATACGTTCACACGTAAGGGTTGGAATTCAGTACAGGAAAAACATTAAACTACTATTGTAACTGTTTCCTATGCTGGGAAAGGGTAGAAGTTGTCACGTTGACTTTGTTTCTGAAGACCACTTGTGACCGTATTTATTAACGTAGCCCCAGCAGCCAGCCCTGGTTCTGCGCTAGGCCAGACGGTGTAGAACAGAGGCTGTGGGCGGCGCTGCGTTCAGTCCCGCTCACACCTGGGAGCCACCGGTGCTGTCGCTCAGAATCTTCTTTTACAGCAACATAGCGTAGAAGTAGGTTTGATACACGTGACAAAGCAGTATTAAAGCTCAGTATTTTACACATTTTTAGCATTGAAAAATATTTTTGCTTTAGTGTGAAGGAGGGAAGGATGGGCCAGGAGGCGATAAAACAGCTATTGCTAGGACATGAAAAAACAAAGCTGGGTCAATATTTCTATAAAAAGATGAGCCTCTAAAAATGCTTAGCAGAAAAAGTGTAGTGTTAAAATAAGGCCATGATGTTAAGGAGAAAACGAGAGGATGTATCAGGAATAAAGTGATATTACATAGGAGTATTGTATTTTTATGAATTTTATGCCAGTTGTTTACATGTACTATGTATGTCAAGTAAAAAAGATCATGAAAATACGGAATTTTTTGTTGTCGTTATTTTCATTTCCACCCTGACTGTCAATATATTCAGCCTCGTCACGCGGTCACATGGGGTGTGGCGGAGTGCACCTGGGAGCCTGCGAAGCCACTTGGTCCTTTTCATTGGTGGGGGTGCGGTGGGCACTGCGCCACCCACACTCCTCTTACAGTTATGACATTACACACTTACATTACTTTTTCCTTTACATTAAGGGACAATTGGGGATAATTCCAAAATTGCTGAGAGCTTTTTCTCATACATTAAACCAGTTTGGTCTCGTGACATTTCGTAAATCACAGCTCCACATTTTTGCTTGATATGAGCATCAGCTTTAATTTTTTGTCTTCCTGGAGGAAAGACAGGTTAGGTTAGTCCATGCCGCTGTAATGAATTTCTTTATGTGGTGACACCTCTCTCTGACATCTTCCGGGATGAAATGTTCCTACGGTGACTCGCTGAGCCACCGTCGCAGACGAGCTTGTTGACACAGCCCGCTGCCCCACTGCGGAGGAGCCATCCAGCTGGCCGGAGATGAGCTGTAGCCAGATGTGTCTCCCGCAGACTCCTCAGCCCTGATGTGATTGTATCCGAGGTGGGGGCCCTTGGGAGGTTGATTAGGTTCGAGGGCAGAGCCTGTAGGAAAGGGACAGTGCCCTTATATAAAAAAGGCGTGAGGAAGCTTCCTTGCGTCTTCCACTAGGTGTGGTTACAGCTACCAGATGTCCCCTGTGGACCAGGAAATGGGCTCTCACTGGACGCTGAATCTGCCAGCACCGCCATCTCAGGTTTCTGGCCTGCAGAACTGGGAGAAAAGGGTCTCTGTGGTGGCGTGTTGCTGTAGCAGCCCCAGTGGGGCGAGAAAGGCGTGGCCCCAGAGTCTGCATTTCTAACCCGGTCCAGGCAGTGCTGCTGATGCCGCTACTCCAGGAAACCACAGGTTTGAGAGCCACATTCTAAACAGGAAAGATTCTGGAAGTCTGGCCTGTAGGAGGCGCCCCATTCCTCAGCATTTCTCTCACCAGGGCAGGCTAGAAGGTCCCTGTTGTGCAACGGAATTTTGTGGGGTCCCTTGTGTCTCAGGGCCATTGCTTTAATGGAACTTGTAAGGAACAAACAACAGCTATGGTAATTTTTTTAAAGACCATTTTTCGAGGGAAAAAGAGGGAGAGAAATATTGATGTGAGAGAAAAACCTCTCGAACACAGCCCAGCTGGGGAGTGAACGCACAACCTGGGCATGTGCCCTGACCAGGAATCAAACCGGTGACCTTTCGTTTTGCTTGGGATGCCGCCCAAGCAACTGAGCCACACCAGTCAGGGCCAGATACGGTAAGTTTTAACCAGCATCTGTACAGCTTATTTGCATTGTATATGTTGAATAGGTGAGTTATGGGTCAATTTTTTTGCAGCTAAACTGGGCTTAGACCTGTTACTTTCAGTTTAGAGATGGGGAAAGAATGAAATCCTTCGAAATCGGACTTCCTTTTGTAAACTTAACTTTGTCTAGAAGAAAGTAGATAATTTAGTGATACGTGTGGATTTTAGAACTTCACTTCCACTTTACCACTTTCGTTTGATCCCAGCATAGTCCATCTTTTCCTCCCTGTTAAGAGAGCAGGTTAGGGGCAGCTCTGGGTCCCAGGCCACCTGTCTGTCCTATTGTCCCTCCCTACTGCCCACAACTAGAAGTTTTCTCATTTAAATCAGTGAAATTTTACCTGATGTGGAAGGGGGAAAAAAACAAAGCAGAGCTGCTTTTAAACATAATTACATTCTTAAACTGGTCTTTATTTCATAGGGCTGTATTGATACAAATGCATTTTTACATTTGAAGTTGGAAAGGACATTAAGATACAGAAAGTGTTTGAAAACACTTTCCTTTTATTCTTCCTCCTATGAGAGGGATCGTAAAATTCTGAATGAATAACAGAGTTGACTTTTCTCAACGATTTCGAGTCATTGTGGCATAGTTAAAAGGTATATATATTTTTTTTTTTGCAAAGATATTAGTGTGGTATTGATATTGGCTCTGTTTTCAAAGCAATATTTGTGTTCAATGATCTCTGACCTCAAATTCTGAATAAATAAGCAGCGTGTTGTCAAAATAACTTTCTCATATATATGGCAGCGCTACTAGTATTCTGTTTAAACATGCATGTTTTTAATTCAGTGTAATATAGTTACTTGGATATTTAAGTCCCTGAGCTTTTTTTCTGTATGCAAATTTAATATCTAGAAAGAAGGTTGAATGTGGCAAAATTAAGCCCATTGAGTTGTTAGGCTGATTGCCCTTAAAGCTTTAGTATATCTTAGCCATGTCTTAAAAAAAAAAAAAGAAATGAAAATAAGATAACCATTTCTAAGTAGACTTGGCATCGGGCCATCAAAACTGATTAAAAACAAAAGGTGGCCTGAAGGCCCGATCTTCTGCTCAGCTTTCTGACCCCTCACGTCTCTGGCTCTGCCCACTGGGTAAGGGTGGCCCGCTCAGGTCTGTACCCTGGGCACCTGCTCACGGAGCTGAGCCCTGATCCAGAGCCCCCCTCTTGCCCTAGTGCTTTCTCTTCCTGGGCAGAGCGATTGCAATTTCAATTTCCTGACCCTTCCAGCCCTTCTAGCCTGCGATGGACGTGGCTTTCTCTAACCAAGACCCCCTACGGCACTCATTCTCAAACTTGTCTGCACATTAGAAGGTACTTGGGGAGTCTGGAAAATATGGAAGCCTTTTCCTGGTCCCCAGAGTTTGGGATGCACTTGGTCTGGGTTGTGGCTTAAGGTTTGGATTTAAAAGTTGCCCAGGTGAGATTTTAGGCCCTGGCTTTTCTCCCTCACTTCTAGATAGGTACCTTTCCCACATGTCCAGCCAATCAGATTAGAAATGTGAGCAGCTTTCTCCTAGGTGCACTCTCTCATTGATCATGACTGACTGTGTCAACTTTATTAATCATGGAGCCTAGTGTTGAGCAGAATAAAGGAAGAATTCTGTGTTTACTTGGAGATGTCCGCCATGGGGTGGGGGGTGGGATGGGTGCCACATGTCTGCAAACCTTGATTAGAATGTCAAGAAGTAATGAGAATATAACAGTGGGGGAAAAAAAGGTAAAAATAATTAACAGTCACTTTGAACATTTCATGTTGTGAAGAGAATCATGTTTCTTATGTTAGCATATGCTTTTTTCTTTTTCCTGGAATATGCTTTCTTGATCAGTTTGCACTTCAAGATACAGCTCAGAGGTCACCTCCTCTGTGAAGCCTTCTCGGACTTCCTACCTCTTGGCTGAGTCGGGGCGGGGGGGAGTGAACTGCCCCCACTGCCCATACTCCTGTAATCCCTACATTCTGCACATTTAACAGGACGTTTTCTGTTGCATTGTGTCCTCGCAGACTGGACCTACGTCTTATTCCATTTCGAACCCACAATGCCACCTAGCACGGTTCCTACCTAGCGAGTAGTAATGCCTAATGGTTTTTGGAATAAACCAGTCTTTCTGTAACAAGTAAATTCCAGATGGCGCTCTTTTTTTTTTTTTAAATGAAAAGAGAAAGGATGTGTTCCATCCGTGGTGATGAAATGGTAAGGAAATGTAGGACATTTTCTGTGGAGATTATTGAGTAGAGGAGAAAAATATACTTGATCAGCAGCAAAACAAAAACTAACCTTGCCCTGACTGGTGTGGCTTGGCTGGTTGAGCGTCATCCGGCAAAGTGAAAGGTAGGTGGTTTGGCTCCCGGTCAGGGCATGTGCAGGAGGCAACTGATCTTTTTCTCCCTCTGTCTCCTTCCTTTTCCTCTCTCTAAAAGTAAATAAGTCTTTTAAAAAAATTAACCTCATATCCTGGGTAGGTACCTTGATACAGCCGGACATGGCTAGCAACCAAATAACTATTGGAAAGCAATGTGGCAAAGACAGACATCTCTTTCTTGAGAGAGGACCCTCATTGGCCTGGTTTGTGGGGCGAGGCCCAGGAGACAGTGACAGCCAGTCCTGGGTCCGTGCGCCACTGGCCAGGAAGCAGGGAACTCAGGTTAAGAATTTGGTTCAAGTCTGGGATGAGGATATTCCCAAGGATGAGGAGAGACATGTAGTGTTGCTGGACAAGGATGTTAGACTCAACAGATGACAGCAGTTGTACAATTAATATTTTCATAATTGAGACAACTGCATTGGAAACCTGGATCCATCCTTCACAGGCTTTGTGAGATAAAACATGTTACTTAATTTGAGGATGCATTTTCTTTCAGAAGGATATGCCTCCTAGGGTGGTAATTAAAAACAAGAGAAACAGACATCCACAAACACAGCAGGAAGTTTTAACATACCTCTCTTAGAAACCGATATAATAAACAGGCAAGAAAGAAAATTAGTAAGGATATATACGATTGAGCAAACCTGAATCAATGGCCATACATAGAACAAGCAATCCTGAATTAGTGGTCACATATAGGAAAACTGCACCCCCCAAAAGGAAGAATACACATTCTATTCCAGCATATAAGACATTTCTGAGAACTGACAATAGAGCGTGAACTCCAGGAAGTCTATTTTGTCCAGGAAGTTCTTGGATTACATCCCAAGCACACAGAACAGTACCTGCCATATGTGTACATACACCACATTTTTAAGATCTAGTCATTTGTTGTTAGACATTTGGGTGGTTTTGCATCTTGGCTGTTGCGAATGCAGGGAACAGGGGAGCACTAACAGCTTTCTGAGACCCGGATTTTAATTCTTTGGTCTGAGCTTCTACCTGGGCACAGGGCTTCCCATTCTTCATCCAACATGTCTGCCAGCTTATTTTTCCCACCCAAAGGATCAGGACTCTCTCTGCAACGAATTCTCTGTCAAAGAGAATTCTGTAAAGCTGGCTTCTTTAAAAGAACAGCCAGCTTTACAAAAATAACATCGCCCTCTCTCTCCCCGCCCTTAGTCACAGGGCCCGGCACCGGTGAGCAGCTTAGGGTGGACCTGATCGGTGACCATT